GCCTTCTTGCTCCAGTTCAGGCCCTCGGACCCCTGCACTGGGCCAGCCGGCCTGCCTGCCTTTCCAGTTTTACCTCCTCTTGTGCCTTACATCGACCTTCTGCCCCAGCCACACACATCACCACTCACATTGCCTCATGCACACGAGGGCATTCATGCCTCCATGCCTCTTTCTGAGCTGTTTCCTCAGCCGGGAATGCAATGCTGTCTTTCCTTCCCTCCTATAGACACCTCAAGAACTGGCTGAAATGTCTCCTGCTCCAGAAACAGGTTCCCAAGGCTTTGAACCAGAGCTGACTACTCCCTCATTTGCACCAGCCCTGGACCTGGCACTTACCTGTGGTACAGCACACCTCTCTGTGTATATTGACGGACGTTTATTTCCTGTGCCATGTCCAGCTGTAGCCTGTAAATCTCTCAAAGGACAAGCTATGCTCCCTTCATTTCATAATAGGTGTTTGCCAGCTAAACTTCCTATTGTCTTCAAGTCTATTTCCTTAATATATTTTTCTCATTATATAAGTAATTCATGCCCACTGTGAGATATATATGTATACACACACACAAACACACATGCACATTTTATAAATATATATATATATACACGTATATATATATACATATACATATTTGAAGAAGAAATACCATTGTCAAAGGGATCAGGTGAATAATTCTCAAACTGATGCTAGCATAAGAATAAACTGTGTGAGCTTGTTAAAAATAGAGGTGCTCACCTAAGCATCCATTGATAGTTGATTGGATAAAGAAGATGTGGTACCCATAAATAGAATATTACTCAGCCATAAAAAAATAACCTCTTACCCTTTGTGACAACATGGATGGACCTAAGTATATTGCGCTAAGTGAAGTAAATAAGATGGCAAGACAAATACCATATGATTTCACTTATGTGTAGAATCTAAAAGATGAAATAAATGAACAAACAAAACAGAAACAAACTTGTAGATAAGAGCGCTGGTAGTTACCAGAGGGGAGGCAGATGTGAGGGCTATGTGAAAAAAGTGAATTAATTAAGAAGTACAAATTGGCAGTAACAAAGTCGTCACAGGGCTGGAAAGTACAGCATAGCGAATATAGTCAATAATAGTGTAGTAACTATGTACAGTGCCACAGGTACTGTCTAACCACTATGCTGTATACCCTGAAACTAATATAATAGTATATGTCAATAATATTGTAATTGAAACATTAAAATTGTTTTTTTAAACACAGATGCTCCAACCATTGCTACACCACCCAGCTTCTGCCCCAGTGTGCATGTGCATGTGTTTAATAAACTTCTGGTGGATTCTAAAACACATCCGTCATTAAGGGTCACTTAATGACAGGTGACTTCCAATATTTTTGTACCATAAACAAGCCTGTAATAAACATCTTGGTACATAAATCTCTGTCTATGGGTCTATTTATTGCCTTAGGATAGACTCCTAGAGATGAAATTCCTGAGCCAAAGGGTAGGCCGGTGTTTAAAGCTTTCATCTTCGGAAAGATTTTTGCCTCTCCCTCTCCCACCGGCAGTTTAGGAGGGCACTTGCCTCCTCACACCCCACAATTACGGCCACTTTGGACAAGAAAGACTACAAGAATCATTGTTATTAAATGTGAAAGAAAAATTGCCTAGTTGGATGGTTTTTTAACGGGAACATTTAGCAAGCTTTTGAAGTATAATTACTGTTTCAGCAAGCGGAGGAACGCGCGGCTCGTTATTCTCTTTTTGCACATGGTCGGTAATTTTGCCAAAGCTGTGAGCGCCCATCACTTCATCTGTTTTCCTGGGCTTGTGTTGCTTGTGTGTTTTCCTAGAAGAGCTTCTCTCTGTCTCTGTCTCTGTCTCTGTCTCTCTCTCGTTCTCTTTCTCCCTCCTTTGAGTTTCCTACTCCCCCAAAGCTCAGGTAATGGGCAAGTGCCCTCACCTGAGAGGCTGCCACCTGCAGTGCAGGTAGGGGCCAAAGGCCCGCCACCTAGAATGTTGCCCAAAGCTCAGTATTAGTTGTCATATTTCACATTCTCTCCCTTTCTGTCTCCATCTAACTCTGGCAGGCAGGGGCGCCCTTGGCAGGATTTTCTCCAAGTCTGGTCCCACCTGCACCTAAGGAAGAAGCCCCATGGGCCAGCTGATTTGGGCCTCAGAGTGGAAAAGGCCACAACTCCTGCCTGAGTGCCCAAGGAGCGAAAGGCCTCTGCGAGGTCCAGTGTAGAAGGAAAAGAGAAGTTTCAGGAGGAGGGAAGTACCTGATCAAGTCCATGGACAATAGCTTTTAAATGTGAAATGTGCTCCTTCTCTGACTGGCTGTTCCCAAGCAAGAAACCTCACCCAGAGAATACTCATGCATGTGCACAGTGCTGTTTGCAATTCAGGGAACTTTCTCTGCTGTTTGCAATTGAAAAAGAAAAAGAAAAAGAAAAAAAAGCCCATTAAGGGGCAGTTGGTTAAATAAGTGAAGGTCCTTCCATATTAGAGGATACCAGACAGTTGTACCAGGTAGTTTAAAATAATGAGTCAAAAAAGAAAAAGGAAAAAGACAATGAGGCAGGCCTGTATAGGTGGCAGGAAAATATCTATTATTACATGAAAACAGAAGGCAGAGGAAAAATATATTCAAATGATCCCTTTTATGTAAAAGGAAATACTTATTTTATTCAGCCAACATTTAATGAGGACGTATCACATGCCAAGCACTATGGATAAAAAGGCAAAGCACACAAAGGCGCCCCCCTCATGGGATGGGCATAGGTAGGGTTTGTAGCTAAACAGAAACAGGCCTGAAGCAACTGTCCACACTGGTTATCCCTGCACAGGTGTAACCGAGCAGGGATGTGGTTTTGATTAGGGTGTTCCAATTTTGTTCTCTAGGTTTCTATGTAGTTTGAGTCCCCCCCCCCCCCCCAATGAGTATGCATGGTTTCTGTATTTTAAAATAATACAAAATGAGGAAATGAAATACAGAGGGAATGCAGAAATGGAGCCCGGGATACAGCCAGGGGCCGAGAGCTGGGGCAGCATTGCTCTGGCTTCCCATCGGCTCATAGGTGGGATCTTCAATCTCTCAAGGAAAATAAGCCGGAGAAACAAAGACCTTTGTGGGGGAAGTTTCAAGGTTACTCCAGCTGTTACTGCCTGACCCACAGGTCCCAGGTCTCAAGTCTGAAATCCAATTCAGGATCACGTGTTGCATTTAGTTGTCCAGCCTCCTTGGTCTCCTTTAATCTAGAGGAGTTGCTCAGCCCATTTGGGTCTTTTCAGACATGGAGATAACTCGAAAAATCTAAGCCCATGGTGTTAAAACTGCAATTACTGTAAACAACGTACTTCAATTCTACGCGGTATCCTTGTCCTGGAAATGTAAATTTTTACGCCACTAGGTGGCACTCTTGGCAGGCCTCGGACCTCAAACGCCCTTGCAGGAGAGCAATGGAGGCAAGCAAACTCGTTTTCACTCAATCAGATAAGCCTATTTGGTAAAGCATAGGATGTTAGAAATGCCTGCCTATTTACAAAGGGTCTATCCCTTTAAACATGATTTCTCACATAGGGTTCATAATCATATTACTCTGTTTAGGGATTCTGGACCTCGGGATTCTGATTCAGTGGGTCCGGTGTGCGTCCCACATTTGTCGGAATCTTAGCATTTTTAACTAGTGGCCGGGTGATAGGGCGATTGGGATGTTGCTGGTCTGCAGACCACAGGGCATTAGAACAAGCATGTGAAGAAACATGTTTATGTACAATTAGCCAACAGTTATTTTTACATCATCATCAGCAGTGACGCTTCTCCTACTGCTCTCCTCCTTCCTCCACCCCAGCGCTTTGGCCTCCCTGCTCTCCGTACCTTCGGGCTTTTGCTGTCGCTACTCCCTCTGCCTGGAAATCTCCTTCCCTAGATAGCCTTCTGCTTGGCAGATTCCAAATCTCACTTCTTAATGAGGCTTGCCCAGGTCATCTTACTAAACACTGACACCTGTCCCAAGCCCTGCTTCCAGTTCCCTTTCAATCTGCTTGATTCTTTTCCTCATAGTCTCGCCACCTTCTCACATATCATATAATCCACTTGTGTTTATTGTTTATTGTTTATTTCCATCTCTGCTAGAATCTAAGCTCCATGAGGGAAGGGATTTTTGTCTGTGTTGTTCACCAAAATATCCTGAACACCTATAACAGTGTCTGGCACACAGTAGGTGCACAAGAAAATATTCGTGCACCTAATGGGACCTTCAGCATAACAGAGCCCAACTCTCTCATTCGACGGATGAAGGAATGAGCTCCAGGTCTTTGGACGACATAAAGACTGACCCAAGGTCACACAGACTGTAGCAATGTTCTTCTAAATGAACATAATCCAAAGTAAGACTGGTTTCTATTGGCTAATTTTTAAGCTACAATTTTAATTTATATTATTTGCACTAGGCCTTTTCCAAAAAGGATCTGAAGTAGCTGACAAGACTAAAGGTCACATAAAATAGAGCAGTTCGGAATCAAAATGGAAGAGATATCATCTAAAGGAAGAGGGAGTCCACATAACAGGCACTTGACAGTAGTAAATTACTTTGATGGGGTACAGAAGTTGGCTCTAAATTCTTTGGCAGCTGAGCTAAACAGGAAGCATGTGGGACTGCACAGTGTTTGTTGTGTGACCTAAGAAAGCCTGAGCCCTCGGCAGGAACTCACGTCCAGGAGGCTTTGGTACAGGAGAGCTCTGTGTATCATCCACTGGACCCCAAATTGACAAATTCTCACAAAAACCCAAAGTCATGGTTGAAGAATGAAGTCCTGTAATCTGCGAAGATGCGGAGGATAATACCGAAGCATACTACGGCTCTTGTGGCTCCAGGGAATTCTATTCCGATGTTCTAACTGAAAATAAAGATGAAAACTAGAGAATCTAGAAGAATACATAGTTCAACATGTCTAGGAATATCTTTCACAAATATCTGAGGTCTCAAATCTTTAATAAACATTGAACCACAGGCAATTAATTCATGAATTGGATTGTCATATGTTTAACAAACATTTCATGAGTTTTTACTACAAACATTTGTTTTCCTTTTCCCACTCCCGCATACCCAAGGCACTCGCCAGGCCCAGCCATCTCTAGGGAAGTGAGGACAGGGAGGGAAGCCCTTTCTGTCTCTTCAGGTTACATACAGTCTTCGCCACGGTTATCATGTGTCCAAAAGAGAGACACCGCACATTTGGTCAATTCTCTCTGGCCGCCAGGAAGTTGTTCTCCACCACTGAGCAGGGATGATTGCTCTGTTTTCTAGGGATGTTTTTTCAAAACACAGTTATTTTTCATAAAACCTCTGAATATTCTCTGGGTAAATGCTAGCCAATATATTTAAATAAATGATAGAAAAGATAGATTCTTTCTTTATTTTTTTAAATTTAAAGAGTTCTCGGGCCATATTTCTTGCCTGGAGGACTTAATTTTTTAAAATTTTGTGATAAAATACACATAACATAAAATTTACCATCTTAACCATTTCATTCATAATGTACAACCATCACCACCACCATCTCTGCAACCCTTTTCACCTTGCAAAACTGAAACATTAAACATAACCCCGATCCTCCCCTTTCAGACCCTGGCAACCACCCTTCCACTTTCTGTCGCCATGGTTTTGACTACTCTGAGCACCTCATATAACTGGAATCATATACTATTTGTTTTTCTGTGACTGGCTTATTTCATTTAACGTCATGTCCTCAAGGTTAATCTATGTTGTAGCCTGTGTCAGCATTTCCTTCCTTTTAAAGACTGAATAATATTCCCCTGAATGGATATACCACCTTTTGCTTATCCATTCCTCTATTGATGGACACTTACGTTGCTTCCACAATTCAGTTATTGTGAATAATGTTGCTGTAAATATAAGTGTGCAAATATCCATTTGAAACTCAACATTCAATTCTTTTAAGTACATACCCAGAAATGGAATTCCTGGGTCATATTTGTAATCATATTTTCAATGTTTTGAAAAGCCACCATGCTGTTCTCCGCAGCAGCTGTGCCAGTCTCCATTCCCGCCAACAGTGCACAAGTGTCCCAGTTTCTCCACGTCCTCGCCAACATTTATTATTTCTGTTTTTATTTGATGGTGTGATCTCATGATACGGATTTGCATTTCTGTAATGATCAGTGATGTTGAGTATCTTTTCATGTGCTTATTGACCACTTATATATCTTCTTTAGAAATGCCTACTCAAGTCCCTTGATCATTTTTGAGTCAAGTTTTTTTTGTTGTTGTTGAGTCTTAGGAGTTCTCTATATATTCTGGATATGAAGCCCTTGTAAGACATATAATTTTTAAATATTTTAATATATTTCTCAAGACAGATTTTTTCCGTCTGGTACACTTTTAAATAGAAACCACTATAACCATGTCTTCAGCTGAGCCCCCTCTGCCCTCTGTTCATCACAGATGGGCCAGCTCATGGGATGGTCCTTTTTCAGGAGGAGCCCAGAGAGAACTAAGAGGAAACGCACCTCAGTGCGCAGCCCCACCACAGCGGCCCCGTGGAACAAACACCTGCCTCAGGTCTGCCTCCTCCAGCACATTCCTAAATAATCAAAACCTCAAATGGTAAATTTGCAAATGCCAAAGGCTCTACCAAAATGATTGCGGCCCAAAGCTTTGTGATAGAAAGAAGAGCCTCCCCTTTTGTCCTCTTGTTCTTCTTTCTTACCCTGCCAGGGAAGCAGCCTGGACACGGAGCTCATCTTGGCTCAGGGACACACGCTTTTAATTAATGGCCGGTGGCATGACAGGGCCTCTAGACATGGTTTCAGATTCTGGTTCAAGGTTGGTCCTCACTGTGGAAGGCACCAAAACCCACCCTATTTCCTTTCTCTAGAACACAGTTCCATGCTCCTTCAAAGTCCCCACAGAGGGAGGTTTCCTCAGTCTGCAAATTCTGGCCCAAACAGCCCGTGCCTGGAGGAGGGGAGAGTTGGCTATACCCGCAACTAACGGAATAGTTTCTGACAGTAACCAGACCCTCCCATGCCAAGAGGTTCCAGGAAAACATCCCAGGATTAAAGGAAGTAGGGCAGCAATGGGGGACTTTTTCCTAATGAACTCAATAAACCTTTGGAACAATAATCCACCAAGGGTCAAATATAGATAAAAATCAACTTTGCAGGCTTTCAGAGGCATTTCTTTTTCCCCTGAGGAGAAAGAAAAATAGAAAATATCCCATGAACTGGCTCTCAAAATAAACCACTGGGAATATAAAACTCATCTATAAATATAAGAAATATATAAACTTTAGTTCTGTATTATGGCCAATTAATTGGTGGTGGGAGGAGACAGAGAAAAAGTAAAATGGAGGAAAGAAGAGAAAGGAGGAAGCAGAGAAAGGATGAGCAAGGGAGAAATTTGAAGGACATTAGTTAGACAGAGAAAGACAATAACATTTTAAGAAGGGACAGAAAACACAAGAGGACAAAGAACAATGAGCAAAAAGAATGGCTTTTTGAAGTTTGAAGCACTTGTAAGAATAAAGCAGTGAGCAAAATTTTTTAAACACAGAAATCCTGGGTTCCTGTTGTTGGTGGGCTCAAGCAATTCTGTAGCAAATAAACCCTTTGAAAGAGTGATAGATAGATAGATAGATAGATAGATAAGTAAATAAAGGCAAGTCACTGTTATCATATGTTTCTACTTTCACGAGCATCTTAGAAACATGCCAAGTCAGAGCTGCAAGGACATCTTGTCCAAATCCTTCTGTACTGGGTTGAATAGTGTCCCGGGGTCCCTCCCCCCAGTTTATGTCTACCTGGAACCTCAGAGTGTGAGCTTATTTGGAAATGGGGTCATTACAGATGTCGTTAGTTAAGATGAGGTCATATTGGATTAGGGTGGGGCCCAACTCCACTGGCTGGCGTCTTCATGAGAAGGCTCTGAAAACACAGACCCACATATGTGTGGAAGAAGGCCCTGGGACGCCAGAAGCAGAGATGGCTGCAAGACTGTGCAAGACAAGGGACACCAAGGATTGCCAGCAACCACCGGACTCTGGAAGAAGCAAGGAAGTATTCTTCCCTAGAAACTTTTGGAGGGACCACGGCACTGGTTCTTGATTTTGGATTTCCGGCCTCCAAAAGTTGTGGGAAAATAAATGTCAGTGTTTAAGTCAGAGTCTGCGGTGATTTGCTCTGGCAGCCCTGGGAAATGATTGCAGCTTCTTCTGCAGGAGCAGCACCCTGGGGCAGGTGACATCTCCAGGGTCCCAGGAGCAACCTGGATCCAAGCTCCTATTCCAACTTGCCTTTTACTTTAAGAATTTTATTTGCTTTCCAGCATCATAACTATTTTTTCTCCTCTGTTGTCAAAGTTCACTTTGAAATAAAGATTCATTTCCCATTGCATTATAAAGTCTCAGTGAAGGGACAATGCAGGCTTTAGAAATACTTTGGACCATGAAGTTTTTCCGTAGATTGACTGCCTATCTCTTTGGTATTCCAAGAACAGTTGAATGACTTATTACTTTTGAAAGAGGAAGGCTCTTTTTTAACAGTGAAATCACCATTTATTTCTTTATTTTGAGTGATTTTTTTCAAGGCGTGCCAAGTCCTGCTGGGGATATTGGACTTAAAACTGTCCAGGAAGCAGACCTTTCGATGTGAAATCAGTTCGCCAGCCACTCTTTGGGGGTTTCAACTGACATCAAATCATATGGAGCACACAGTAAGGTTTTAGTTTTGTTTTTTTTTTAGTAATTAACACTTTTTTTGGAGCATGTGTCTGACAGACTAATGACAGCTATAGATCCGCTCCCTGAAAACTGTGTACTCACAGCTTTTTGCACCCACTCTCAGGGGGTTCACGAATTTCACAGACGCTGTGGGCGTGGCCCCACCCAGCCCTGTGGACCCCAGCTGTGGAGACCGTCCTCAAGTAGCCTGGCAGGCAGACGTCCCCCGAGCCCCCTTTTCATTTGAACCACAAGGTGTGAGCCACCTGTGAGTTGGCCTGTGACGGAGGTTGCGCTCCCCAGCATGCTAATGACACAGGTGGAGGGGCGGTCCTAAAATCAGCCGTGCACAGCAGCTGAGTTCTCCCGAGCAGCTTTCAGGCACCCTCTTATAAGACTGTCAAAGACAGAGTCAGTGGGAGTCCAGCATAAATTCCCAGGGGATAAGGGGGGCTCTCTGAAAAGGACTAATAGAATCCTGGTGCTGGAAAGGACCTGGGGCTGACAGGTTGTCTTCCTGCTGTTCCTCCCAGGGCCTTTGATACCCTTGCCCCTCACCCCACCTTTCCCACCTGGTACTCTACCTACCCCCCAGGTCTTTGGTAAGAAACAACTTCCTCTTGGACACTTTGCTTGGTTCTCCGAAGTCTCTGTCAGGAGCCCTTCCCCTGTGCCTCCATTCGCTCTGATTTTTCCATCACAGCCTTTGCCCCACTGCTGTAATTGGCTCTCCACCAACCTGTGTCTCTACTGGATTGGACGTCCCAGGAGAGAAGGCGCCACAGGCTTTGTATTATCTTATTACCCACAATGTCGAGAAAACAAAGCAGGACGGATTCCAGCTTGTTAGACAAAACAGTTCTGGTATTTACCTGTGACTGACGCTATTTTAGGAAGCAAACTGACCACCAGTTCACCCCTGGAGGGGTGGACCCCTATCACCTGAGGGGAATGTTCTTGCAGAGATAAGTGGGCCCATTAAGTAGTTTACTACAAGCCACCTGTGCTAGCGCCGGCCTTTGGCTGTTTATATGAACTAGCCCAATCCCTTTTAGGGTGTGGAGATTTACTGTCTTGCTGCTGCCCAAGACGATGCTTCTGTCTGTAAATTCTCTTAATAAAATCAAGATAATCCTAGGGTTGTTAGCTTCTTCCTTCGATCTCTTGGCTCCAAGAAAGTTCCCTAACAAAGCTTGTTGAGTAAATAAATTAATAGCTGGCTAGTTTGATACAGGGTTTCTCAACCTTGGCCACTATTGGCATTTTGGACTGCGGGGCTGGCGTGGGAGGTGGGGGGAGGGACACCATCCTGTGCATTGTAGAATATTTAGCAGCATTTCTGGCTTTTCTACACACCAGATGCCAAGAGCACCCCTCTTCAGGTGTGACAACTAAAAATGTCTCTAGACCCTTGGAGGCCAAATCACTGTGGTAGAAAAATCACTGTTTTGATGAATGAATGTTGATCTTGGAGTCAAATTGCCCATCTTGAGTCTATGTCAGGGAATGAGAGTTCAGTTCATCAGTTAATGCTGATGGAGCACCCAGTGTAGGTTCATGAAATGGGTGGCTGACCTCTTGTGCCTTCTCTCAGAAGAGGGGAAAAAATTCCACTATGCGTTTGCTATGGAGCATTTCATCCTTTAATGACTTGTTACAATGCGAGTTCACCAGAGGGAGCTGTAACCAACAAGTTCGACCACGGAGAAACATGGCCTCTGGTGGACCTGGTGACGGGATGCTCTTCTTAAGTGGTGAGGTCAGACTTAGATGTGTGGCTATGCCATCTGGTTAGGACAGCTGAACCAGGATCCTGGATTTAGAGAAATCTCAGTCATTATATCTACTGTGAAAGACCCCTGTATGTGTGGTTTCTTTAGAGATCGAGATAGAGGGGATAAATAATTTAAAAAACCACTTACGCCCCATAAAGTAGTCATAAGCAGTAAGAACAGAGTCTTCCCAGCTTCCACAGCAATGGCCCTGCTCTGGTAGCAGCAAGGGACGGATGAAGTGACCCGGGGGGCCCCTAGCCTCTCCCCAAAACCTCAACACAATGACTATCAGGCTGTGAGATTGTTAGAAATCGCCTAACCTTCTGCCTCCCGTTCCGGTCCTGAAAACTGGGAAACTGTATAACGTTTTCGTAATACAACTTTGTGTGTGTTACAACTTTGTGTGTGTGTGTACATCTGTAGTTTTCATCGTATTTTCAAAGAAGTGTAATCCCTATCAGTGTTAAGAACTGTTCATTTAATCTCAGTGTTGAGATAAAGAACCTGAAGCTCTGAAGATCAGGCTTCTGTGTCTGGGATCTGGCAGAGCCAGGGTGCACTCAGATCTCCCTCTGCCGTTGGGCCCAGCGGGGTGGCGCTCTGATGGGGGACCAGGCCCGCCAGGCAGTGAGGTCTGGTCTGAGGCCGCTGGGGCGCATGGATCCCAAGGGGTAGGAGGGTGCTTTACCGGTAGGGTTGCCAGATAAAATATAAGATCCCAGTGAAGTTCAAATTTCAGATTCACGAATACTTTTATAATGTAAGTATGTACCAAACATTACATGGGACATACTTATACTCAATAATTTGTTGATTTGGAATTCAAATTTAACTGGGTACCCTGGGCTTGGGAAGGGGTGGTTGTTTTTTGCTCAATCTGGCAGCCCTGCCTGCCAAGGACAGACAACTTTGGCATCTTCAGTCGGGCAGCAAACCCTGAAGCACCAACCAGTGGGGTGTTAATAGCTCAGTGTCTGAGACTCAGGCTACCTCTGGGCCCGACTCCAGTGAAGGGCACAGAGGCCTGTGGCCTGTTTATGACCCAGTCTGCTGATGGGACCTGTTTGGTTCCCTCTGTGACTTCGGCCGGCCCGAGAAGTCCTTGAGCACGACAGATATCCTATGTGCATGTGGCCTCTTGTAAGATGACATTTCACAGGTCTGTGAAGAGTAAAGATCAAATTTATTTAATACAACACCTGTCAGGGAGCTGGCAGCTGCGTCACTGCGGTGGCGCCGAGCGGTCTCGGGTAAGTGTGTCCACTAGGGAAATTCCACTGGAAGTGGCCACAGCTCTCACCCACCCACTCAAGACACTATCAGAAACATCATTAAGACCTCAGGAGGCCATTTCTTTAGCAAGGAATAAATAAAAAAAATTAGTAAGAAAAATATGCATTTCATTTTTTTCTATTAAAAATAGTATTTGCTGTAGGCAACCATCTTCCTGCTGTTCAGCCTTCAGCGTGGTAGAGGAAAAGAAAAAGTATAGAAAAACAGCAAACATCTGTGCTGTCCAACTCCATTTTCTATTTTGTGCATTGCCCAGAATGAAACTTGTCTTCAAGTTGACATATCAATGGGGTTGCTCCCAAGCAGCTTTGTTTTCCCATTTGTGCCAGGCAAGGTCGTAGAGGGGACAGGGTGCAGCTGTCTAGTCAGTGCTATGCACTTCCAAGGAACAAGGACTACCCAGAACTATAGGCCTTTGAAGGACCAAAGACATAGAGGGAAAAAAAAGCACTAGCCCCTAAGCTAGGCCATTTGCTAGACATGATCAACTATTTAAAAAAAAAAAAAAATCAAACAAACAGAAAAAAACCCACACAGGTTTCTGTGTATGAAGGTACGTGGACAAGTTCTTTATCTCTGTATAAGATGAAATATTCAAGTTTCAAAATATCCCGAAGGCCTGCTGACTCTGAACCTCCTTCTCCTGCTTTCTACTCCCAGCGATGCTCCAGCTTGGTGAGCGGGTGGCGGTGTGGGGAATAACCAGCCCCTCTGTATCTCCTTATACCCAACATAAATGTAGCAAGGTGGCTTTAAGAACTGGTGACTTGGCCTGAGGAATTGCTGTGTTCAGTGGGAGCAGGGCAGGTTCAGAAATAAGTGCACAGAGCTCTTGGAATTGGGAATCATCTGCTCTTCTTGGAATGTGGCTGTCCTCCTGCGGACGAGTGTCCACTCCTGCGGTCCTAAATTCCATTTAGGGAACCTTCTGTTCTCTGTAGTGACAAGAGACAAGACAAGGTTACGGTCACAACTTTCAGGACCGAAGACTGCCCTGGTGGAAAGGCATGCCAAAACGCAGACAGAGCTCCTTAAAGGAACTCCAAAGGAATGCTGCCATCCACCGGTACCGCCCACCCTGTAGGGGCAGCTTCTGCCCGCACTCATTTCCCCTGCGCTCCCTGCCAGCTCCTGAGGGCCTGCAGCCTCTGTTCTCCGTATATGTGTTGCACATCAGACTGTCAACCAGCTTCCTCAAGCGCTCGCTGTGTGCCAGCACTACATCCCACGGGTGCTGCCCTTACCCACAGAGGAGACTAGTGAAGCCAAGAGAGCCCTGGCTTCTTGCTCCAACTCTGCTTCTAACATGAGATGGACCTTCTCTGGGCCTGTTTTTTACTTAAAAAAATGAAGGACTGAACTCTGATGATCATACTTAGTAAAAATATGGAAAGCTTCATGAATTTGCATGTCATTCTTGTGCAGGTGATGATCATACTTAAATGTTTTAAAATGACATGATTCTGCCTTAAAATGAATAGAGTTCTGCTATATGTCAACATGGATCAACCTTGAAAATGTTATGCTAAGTGAAATAAGCCAGACACAAGAGGAACAAATGTTCTATGATTCCACCTTTATGAGGTGCCCAGAGTATTCAAATTTAGAGAAACAGAAAGTAGAACAGTGGTTGCCAGGGGCTGAGGTACAGAGTTTCAGTTTGGGAAGATGAAGAAGTTCTGTGGGTAGATGGTGGTGATGACCGAACAACGATGTGAAGGTACTCAACGTCGCTGACCTCTACACTTAAAACGTTAAAACAGTAAATTTTATGTTGCATCTGTTTTGTGACAATAAAAAAAAGGACCAAAGGTTCCACGTGCCATCTTGTAGTGTTCTCTAATTGCTCACCTACCCATCCATCGGTGACTTGACCCACACCTTACCGAGGCACTGTTCTCTATGCTGAGGATGCAAGAACCCGACCATCCTCCCACCCCTAGAAATTATTGACAAACAACACTACCATGGACCAGGAGGTGAAAGAGGCCCTAATGAACTGTAGGAGTTCAGAGATGGTGAGAGGACCCTAGCTGGGCAGCGAGGGCATCACACAGGGCTGTGGAGAAATGACTCTGGAGCCAGCCTCCTGGTTGGAGAGGATTTGGACAAATGGATGGAACCAGAGCACAAGAGTGGAGCATGCTGGGAAATACTGGAGTAGAGGGGCCCTGGGCAATGGTGAGCTCTGAAGAGCAGGCACCATCTGAGCCTATGGCTCTGGACCCTCCAAGCACACAGGGCACCCTGCTGTAGGCAGGACTCAGGGAGGCAGGAGTGGGAGAAGTTGTGGGAATTAGCCAGGGTGTTAGGAACCCTATGGCCACACTGGCTGGCTCCCTGACAGTGGGCTGAAATAGAGTCCCTGACTGTTCTGATCTTGCTGGGTCTGAGGAAACTCTAGGAACAGGATGCAGGTCTGAGGGGCTTGAGCTGGAAGCCCGAGGCTCTGCTTCCTCCCCTGCCGGGAGAGACCCTGGCAAGCGGGCCCAGAAAGCTGTGTTGGCCCCAGGGGGCTGGAGGTCCGCCAGCCTTGGCAGCTACCCTCGCCCCATTTCCTCCGCTCCACTGGAGGGGTGGCCCTGCTGTCCAGTCTTTCTGCAGGGCCCAGACCAAGTCCCTCCCCAGGCACCTCTATTCTCCCTCCCTGAAGGAAGCCAGTGCTTGGGGAGCCGCTATAGAACCAGCCTCACAGACAGGAAGGGCTGGGCCACAGTCAACTGTGCCTTGGGGATTTTAAAGTAAAGGTTAACACGCTCACATCCATGGCCTGTGTTTGCCTGTCGTTAAATCAGAGGCCAGCCACCAGCCACTCACGTACAGGCATGAAATTGCCCTGCTTTCTGGCCAAAGGTCATTTTGCTTCCAACACCCTTGGAATCTCTACTTCTTGCTTCTAGAAGGTGCCCCTGATGAGCACTTCCAATAAGCCATATCTGTGCTACGTGCTCATTTGATTCCTGCAACTACCAGGTGAGGGGCATAAAAACCTCCAATTTACAGATGAGAAAACTGAGGCCTTGAGAGATTAGGCTATATCTGTCCAAAGAAACATAGCTGATAAATAGCTAATAAGAGAAAAGTCAAATTTTAATGTGGGTCTCTGATCCTAAGCTAAAGCCTCGTTTTGATCGAATCCTGTGCCTTGGGTAAGCAAGGGCTATATTCCCCTCATGTGCTGGGGGCATTCAAAGTCCAAGTTGAAATTCCCCCATCCATGCCCCATACTGCCACAGTGTCTGATGAAAAAAACTTCAAAGTAGATAATCAACTAGTTTATAAATGATAGTTTGCAGTTTGATTAGTACTTTGCACATATGTTTCTCATTTAACCCTTAAGGGTGTTCTCTTAGGACAATCCTAATAGGCAGTTATTATTGTTTTGGTGGTTGTCATCGTCTCCATTTTACAGGTTGGAAGCTTAGGCTTGAGGGAGACAGGATCACCCAGACACGTCTGGAGAATTGGAACTCACACTCCAGCCTCTTGATCCCAGCTCCTGGGCAGTTCCTGCTGCAGCCTAACTGCCCGCTGGCTCCCGGCAGGGAAGGAGGTGAGCTGAAAATAGGAGTTGCCTTTTTTCAGTAAGAAGGCAAAGTTCTCTCCAAGATCCCAAGACTCATGCAGGTCCAGATTCGCCCATTTAAGTGCTGGGTGTTCTTTTTCATGTTATCTGTCTGCCTCGGCCACAAACACGATTTATAAACAAGGCAAAAATGGCAGAGGAAAATGAAGTCAGAATGTGCCATTGAAGCCAGTCAAACAATACTAAATTGGTATTTGGCTAAGTGGCTATCTCATTGTTAAGATATTTCCTCCAATATGTTTTCAGAAGCAACGGCCATTAAACAACCGGGAATGATCGCCAGGTTTGATTTCAGGAAGGAAATCCCCTCCTATTTCCTTACTGGGCAATTCAATTTTCTCCTGACCCTCACCAGCTGATTATTAGGGAAAATATACCTGCTTCTTTTATAAACAAAGTGCTTTCACTTAAAAGATTCAAAGCTCCTTCCCAACGGCTGGGAGCCCCTGCTATCCCGCCAGAAGGCTTTGGTATTTGGAGCGCAGGACCAGCCGTGCAAGGGCTCTCAGGGGCAGCCTGGGAGCAGGCTTCTGGGCCCGCAGGCCAGCTTCTTGGGAAAGGGAAAGTTTTGTCTGTGCTGGAGCTCTGAGCCTTTGTCCAAAGAGACTGTTTGGATTGAAGACAAAGTAAATAGGCTGGCCCTAAAGGTCCAGCAGCCCTGCCTCGGGGGTACACAGCCGTGTTTACTGCGGCCTCTCTTTGTCCGGGTCCCACACTGCCCATGGAACAACGGCCACCCTTTCCACTCACTCGAGGCCATGATGGATGGGACAGTGAAATAACCTCTCAGAAGGAGTCTGCGTCCTGGTCTGGCCGGGGGTCTGGAGACCTAAATGCTAGTCCTGGCACTGCTCTGAACCAGCCGGGTGTCCCTGGGCAGGCTGTTCTGCCAGTTCCGGCCTTGGTTTTCTCACCTGGAAATTGGGCTCCCTGCCCTTCCAATGCAATAGTCCCTGACTTCAGAAGTCTGGGTGGGTTTAGGTTATAAAAAGACTTTCATTTCATTCCTCTCATTCTTAGATTGATTGCTTTCTTCCATAATAAGAATGTCAGTGGCTTCCTGTCTGTCAAAGGCATAATGAGTTCTCTGTTTTATAAGAATTCAGACTCAGGCAAAACAAAGGAAGCCAGCGGCCCCATTGGAAGGGCTACCAGCAAACCTGCTGAAAGTTCTTCCCAGACCTTAAAGAAGCAGTTCAGTGGGGCAAATTCTTCATCTCTTAAGATGCTAGCTGCTCAGCAAGTTAACTCCTGCATGGCTGGGTGGCTCATCAAAAGGTTGGGAATAGGAAGACAGGGGGCAGTGGGTCTTTGCAAAATTTGAATTTGGACTTCTGCATTTCTTTTAAATATTCTCACATGCAAAGTAACAGTTTCCTATGAAACATCCTAGCAGGGCATCCAGTCCTTCCCAGGTAAGCTCTGACTTACCTTTCCCCATCACTGGCCGCCATCACCCTATTCTCCAACACAGAGCTGCTTAAAGCTCTGTCCCTCACACCTTTGCTCCTGCTGACCTTTCTACCTGGACCCTGATGTAATCTGACTCATTCTTCATGGCCCATCCGCATGACCCCTTCCTTGGTGAAGTAGACTATTAAGCAGGTGGAATGTAGCACCTTTCTTCTGTTTCCATTGTCCTCGGTGTAGCTTTAGCACCTTGCTTTCTCATCAGTGATAACGTGTCTGAATACCTCATTGGGTCAAGGACCTTGAGGGACTCCTGCAGCAGAGGGCCTGGTAAGTAGGGGTGAGCTGTTGGATGCCCCATTCCTCCAAGCATAACCCCCCAAACCTGCCTTCTTCCCAAGCGCGAACCCTGGACAACAGGAAATGTGAACTTGGCTTGTTTGGCACTAAGTGCCCTAGATTTCCAAATCTCTGGAAGGGGACTTCCAGGGTCTCCCTTTATATATGGACTAAGATGTAATAATGGAAACAGTGGGAGAGAACATTTGACATTACAACTGGCCCAGAAAAGCTGGATATTCTAATTAGCAGATCTCATTGGCCCAGGGCTGCTGTTGTAAAACAGAAGAGGCCCGTACAGGCACATAATTAATAGGAGTGCAGAATCTCGGTGAGTCTGGAACTATTTCACTGTTGAATAGACTATTTTTAAAAAAAAAATAAATGCATACTTACAGAGTATCTGTTTTCCATGAAATCTGCAAAACAAAGGTAACAGGGAGGTTAGCAATGCAAAGAGAACGTGTTAGCCTCCCCAGACCCCAGCAGCTCAGGGGCTGAGCCCAGGAAGAGAAGGGGCAGGTGATGCAGAACGAAATGCCAGACCCATCAGCTCACTGGGTGCCCAGGTGAATGACTCCTTTGCCCAGACAGCTTCCCCTGAGCCCTGTAGCTCCCTCCATGTGACAAGCATATAATGTCCTTGGTAGCTCATTTGACATTTTAAATAGTTCTTAAAAAAGTTAGTACCACCTGTTATTTTAGGAGGAAAAACCCTGAAAACTACAGAAAAATAGAAAGCAGCAGATATAAAGTACCTCTGGTTCTATTCTCCAAACCCGGTTGACACTTGTTACCTTTTCTGCTATGAGGAGGCTTTCTTTTGGAGTTATAATTAATCCATATGGGCCATTTTCTAGCCAGCCTGTCTTTTTCACAGACATGATTTTATAAACATTTTCTGGTACCTTCTTAAACAGTATTATCAGAAGCTGCATAATAATCATTCAATGGATGTGTAATTATTTACTTAACCAGTTTGGTACTTTAATAATTTATGTTCTTTCCAAGTTTTTGCTATTTTTAAATAATGCTGCCAGTGTTACCTCTGGGGATAAAGCTATTTCCGTATCTCTTACTAGTCTGTCCATTCCCAGGAGTGACATCAAGGGAGCAGAAGGCATAAACTTTGCCGGCGCTTTTGGCATGTATGGCCTCAGAGCTGTCTCAAGGGCAGGACTGCCACATTCCCTGTCCCTGGGGGGCCTCAACTCAACTCGACTGTCCAGAGACCACACTGTCTTCTTGCCAGAGTGCCTGCAGGGACTAGCTGGCCCTGTCAGCTTTCACTGGTAAAAATGTCCCTAACTAGACATCAGGAAGATGAGGGGGAGGGGAAGAAAGGCCAGTGAGAATAGGAGGGTGAGTGATCTCTGCCTGCACTAGTTAGGGATGGTTTTCACTACAAGAGGCAAGAGAGGGGTATGATTTGCTCCATTGGACAAGACCAGGCCCGACTAAGAGCAGAGTTTCTGAATGGGCAATGGCCCACATGTTGGGGCTCATTCCAACAGACGATGGACATAGACACAAAGACAGAGAAGCCTCGGGGACCTCTTGTTACCTGGGCAAGGCCCCTAGGGAAGATGTAGGAATTGGGGGTGGTTGCCATTCTTGATGGCGGTGCAGTGAGGGCAGGAGGGCCATCACACCTCCCCACGTCCTCAGTCTTACAGGTAGAAGCTTTCCAAGGGGCCTCGGTTCCCACCAGCTGCCCAAGCTCAAACCGGATCCCTTCTGAGTCGTGGGCAGTCTCAAGGCCCATCTGTCACAACCCTTCTGTTTCTTTCTCTAATTTAGGAGTATCCTGTTTCCACAAGTCCACTTCCCCCTCAAACCCTGTCTTATCACAGCTCCATTGTGTGTCCCCTCTAGAAGGAACAGGGCCAGAAATTCCTAAGGGGCCCCCTTCTGTCCTGGCTGGGACAGAGGCAGGTGTCAATGGCCAAATGGATGAATCAGTGTGACCACGAAGTTGAGCCATTGTGTAAACTTCCACACATTGAGCGAGGCCTGGGCAGCACCCCACCCCGACCCCAAATCTGATCTGGGAGGACCTGAAGGACCCCATGCTTCCTGCTCCCCCAAGCCCCTGAGGGCTCTGGAATGAGATGAAAGAGGGGGGAAAGCCTCAGTCTGTGTTTCCTAAAGCAATCTGAACACAAAGTACTAAAATTTGGGTCTGCCGATAAACATGAAATTCATGCACACTTGTAGTTTTCCTTTTTGGTTATAGAGCAACCACTACAAAAATAGAAAATGGAGGGCAGTATTCTTTTTTTTTTTTTTTTTAACAAAGTATTTTTTTGCCCTCTTCAATTTCAAGCCTGGGTTGCTCTGGGCCTCGAGGATGGGTGGGGACTGGCCCTCGAGAGCTCTCCTCGCCCTCCCAGAGGGGACACGGCACAGACACCCTTGTTCTTTTTTCTCAATGAATAGCTACTCTTGATATACTGGACTTTCCCCCCTTAAGAAACATCTGGAAGTCTGAATTCCAGGCAAAGAAAAAGCAGAAGGTGGAGACTGAGTGAGCAGATACTCATATGGAAAAGTGGGCTCTGTCTGGCTGGGTATCTCAGTTGGTTAGAGTGTCATCCTGATACACCAAGGTTGCAAGTTCAATCCCCTGGTCAGGGTACATACAAGAATCATCAATGAGTGTATAAATAAGTGGAAAAACAAATCAATGTCTCTATCTCTCTCTCTAAAAAAAAAAAATCAATAAACAAAACAAAACAAAACAAAACTTAAAAAGACATAGGTTAGTATCTGGAGTGGGACTTGGCATCTTTTCCCAGGACCTCAAGTTGTCAGGTGGGATGTGCCCAGGACACCTCCCCAGGCTGGCACAGGGCATCTAGAGAGGAAAACCAGCTCTCCTGTTGGAAGACTCACACGAGGTGAATTCCTGCAAGCCAGCGCTTCTTAACACCGGCACTAAGGGCATCTGGTCTGGATAATTATGTTTTGGGAGTTGTCCTGTGCACTGTAAGATGTTTAGCAGCATCCCTGGCCTCTGTCTATTAAATACAGTAGTACCCCTCTTTCCCCCAATTTATGACAACCAAAATTGTCTCCAGACATCGCCAAATGTCGCCTACATTGAGAACCACTGCTCTGAGCTGTGGGAATCTCACCCAGACTGGAGTTCTTTCCCAGGGAAGGACTTGACCATGCTGCTAATCATAATAAGCCACATTATACTTCCATTTTGAAATCCATTGTAAATATAGGTTAACAGGTTTTGCTTTGAATGGCCCGCAAGCTGTTTTATAAAGTACTTTCAGAATAAGCTGGAGCACTAACACATGTCCAGTGCTGAATCAGAGGTAATGTTTCCTGGCCAGAAACTGCCTTTCGTACAGCCATGGCTCAGCCAGGCCGAGGGAGCCGCTGAGAGGGCCAGGGGTAGCCGTGTGTGTACAGGGAGGATCCCTGCTCAGCCATCATTTCTCTTTTTGTTCTTGTCATGAGGAGAATGAAGGGGAGGAAAAGAAAATTAAATCATTTCTTGTATTAGCCAGGACCAGTCAGCGATGGAGGAAGTTGGTGACAGAGGAGAAGAGAGTGAGGGGCAGGGTAGGGGTTTACTCCAGGTGACACTGCAACTCAGGGCATCAAAGCTAGGAGCAAGCCCTGGCCATCTAAGTCTCAGAATGCAGGTGAGTAACGGATTGTCTTATATCAGGTCCTAGGTTGCCAGGGATGGGAGTAAATGGAGTCTAGTTATGTGTTAAGAGAGAAAGGTACCAGACTGGAACCTGGACTACTTTCTTTAAACACTCATCTTTTAGGACCACCTATATTACTGCTCAATAAGAGACATAGAGCAGACTAATTTCCCTATTTCTAGTTAAACCAAATCAAAAGCTATAACTAGAGCTATTATTACTGACTCAGACTTGCAAATAATTGAGAAGGGAATAAGAACCTTAGAGAATCTAAAGTGCTAAGATTGCAGATCTAAATTATAAGGAAATTACCAGCATTTTCTCCAATCCCCTAAGAAACTGAAGGTTAGACAGAGGCAAAATTTCTCAATTTGGGTTTTTTCTTATGCAATTTTTCTAGTTCTGAGAACTCCTCTCTTTCCTTTCCTAACATGTAGCTATAAACCATTGAATAGTTGGAAAAGGGAGACATTCAAAGACCAAGAAGTCTCCTTGCCTTAGACTAAGAGTTAATTGCTGGGATGTTAGCTTAACTATATGTCAACATAAGAGTAGGCTCTGAGTAGAATAGCTGACTTGCTTGACCATGACCATGAGTTGGTGGGAGACACCGAGTTTGAAGAGATGTCCCCCTTCTCCCCATTTTAAAGAACCCATCTGCACACCACAGCCCTTCCTTATCCACCCAAGGGTCACACCTTCCCAAGGGACACTGAGGTATTCACTCTGCCACAGTTCTATGTGGGTCAGGGTCATTTTGTTGAGAATTAATGAGAAAACTAACACCCAAGGAAGAAGTGAGGGGTGGAGGCCAAGTCACACAACGTGATAAGGGCAGAGCTGAGACCAAACCCCAGGTCTCTCTCTCCCAATTGGGATGTTTTCCATCAGGTTCACAGCACAAAGAACTATCTGGGCAGGACTCTGACCAATGTGAACACAGCAGAAACACAGTAGGTTTGTCCCTGAGACCCCTAACTTAGTTCAGACTTGAAGGGGAAACTTGGGCTTAAAAGCAAATACCTATGTGGTCTTGGAATCAAGAGTGGATAAAGGATTAGGACTGGCTCCAAGGGACTGAGGAAGTGACTCATAAGTAACTGACGACTCTCTCCACACCGAAACGTTCAGGAGATGCTTCCGGACTGACTAAGACATAAACAAATGACCATCACTTCCAAGTGCCAGGACACTGAGACTCTCTGAATGCTATAATTGGAAGGCAACTTAAGATCATTCTTTCAACCTCCTCCTTTGACAGATAAAAAGGCCAAGCTTAGTCAAATTCATAGAGAGGCAAAGTAGGATGGTGTCACTAGGGGCCGGGGAGAGAAATGGGTTGTTTAGTGGGTATGAAGCTTCATTTTGGGAAGATGAAAAACTTCCAGAGATGGATGATGGTGATGATTGTACAATATTATGAATAGATTTAATGCCCATGAAATGTACACTTAAAAGTGGTTAAAATGGTGTTAGGTATGCTATATCTCAGTTTTAAGAGGATGCTGAGCTTAGAGACTAAAGCCAACATTACAAAGACCCAGTGCCCTCCGCAGCCTAGAGGATGCCCCCTCCTCCGCCAGCAGCCCCACACTTGCCGGGTCCCACCCAGGGCCCCACCCGGGGCTGGTCCTCGGAGACAGGCCTGCCCCGTGCCCTTTTGCTTATCTAGAAGGGCAGTTTGCCTTTGTATCACTCAGGGGAAAACAGGGGTTTAAGAGCCAGAACTACGCCCTGTGAGCCAGTTCCCAAAATAGCCAGCCCTGAAGTGCTGCCTGTTGGAAGACTTGGAAGACGCTGGGGAACTGAGAAATTAAGGTAGGGAAGAATAAAAGATAAAGAAGGAAAGGTTAAATAGCCTCAGCTCTGTCCTCAGCCCGCTCACCGACCTGTCCAGAGACCACCCTCCCCTCTACCTGGGCCTTTATTTTATTGTGGATCATCCCCTCCCCTACACACACACACACACACACACACACACACACACACACACACGGCTAACTCTGCTGTCCACCCTGAGCCATCCCTCCATCCCTCCAGGATTGCTGGGGAGTAGGAAAGACCCTACCCCTTCAAACAAGAAGCAGAGCAGAAGTTAGAGCGATAGAATCAAAAGAGAGCTCAGAGCATCTTGATGATGGATCTAAAATTGTGGTCCCCAGACCAGGAGCTGCAGCATGTAGGAATTGGTTAAAAATGCAAATTCTCAGCCTCACTCTAGACCTGCTGACTTGGAAATGCAGGAGGTGATGCCCAGCCACCTGTGTTTTAACAAACCTGGAGAACCCCTGACCTACATCCGAGCCCATGCCCCTCATTCCACAGAGAAAGTGACCGAGGCCAAGAGATTCTCTGTGATGCACCCAGAGTCACCTAGACCATACCAGGCTGTCTTCTGAACTTCTGAAGTAGATAAACTTGAACCTTCTAACTAAGCTGATGATAATGTGAAAACCAAACAAGAACCAAAAAAAGCTGGAAAATGTAGAAACCTGCGGTCAAGTGGTTTGGCAACAAAGAGAGGAAGCGGGAAGGCCCTGCAGCTGGGCTCCCAGCATTCGGGCCCCTGCTCGGCCACTGCTGGCCTAGGGACCAGGACGAGTTACCAAGTCCCACACCCACTTCCCCATCTGTAGAGCACATGTAAGAACAGAGCCTCTGTCAGCCTTATGATGATTTTGAGCAATAAGTGAGCATCTGTCAGCAAGAGGAAAAGAAGAAAAGAAAAGAGGAATTAGCCCTGACCATATGGCTTAGTTAGTTGGACATCATCCTGCAAAGCAAAAGGTCCGCAGTCCGATTCCCTGTCAGGGCATGTGCCTGGGTCCCCGGTTGGAGTGCATATGAGAAGCCACTGATCAATATTTTTCTCTCATGTCAGTGTTTCTTTCCCTTTCTCCCTCCCTCCCTCTCTCTCTAAAATAAATAAGTAAGTCAATAAATAAAATAACCTTTTTGGAAAAAGAGGAACCAACCAAGGTCTGCAGCCTCTTCTCCATAAGCAGCCGCTGAGTGGGGATGCTCAGAAACGGGAAGTCCCTTGGCTTCCAGGACAGGAACCCCCCCCCCCGCCCCCCAGGAGGTGGGGGTGCTCACTGGCTTTCTCAGCAGCACTGTCAGTTTGGCTACAAGACCCAGACCTGGCTCTACTCTTAACCCCTGGGCAGGAGCCGGCTGTCAGGTCAGAGACCAGATTACAGAGGGACCCAAGTCCCACCTGACCCCAGTGGCCCAGATGGCAAGTGGGAACCGTCGTGGCCTGGGAGCCAGGAGATGGATTTAGTCTCACCCTGGGCATTGAACTCGCTAGGGCTCCAGTTCCTCCAGTGTTTTTTTTTTTTTTTTTTTTTTTTTAAGCTAAAACAGACTGAATGCTCACTGCGTGGTGAGGACAATACACTGACTGCATGTTTGGGGTAGGGTGTTAGCGCTGTCTCCCCTGATCCTATCTCATCCTCTTTTCTCATTTAATCCCATTTCCATTTAACAGTTGAAACTGCATCTCAAAGAGGTTAGGCATCTTAGTCAAAGTCACGCAGCTGGTAAGCGGCAGTACCAGGGCAGGGGGTTCAATGATTCCCAACAAAACAGGGCCCTTCACTGCCTCAGTCCCTCCCTACAGGGTGGGGTTCCTACGGTGCCTACAGTCCATTTTGGCCCAAGGCCTGAGGGAGCAGCCACATGCCAACAGCCTGGCACTGAGGACTCAGGCACCCAGAACCAGCCTGCGGACCCTGAGAGAATGCACTTGCACAGCTGCCTTAACGCAGATGCAGGAAGTCAGAATATACCTTCCCCAAACACGCCACTTTGGCATAAGGATTATTTTGAACTGGGGGCAGAGAATCAATGGATACAGAAAGAGGCCGTCTGGGAGCTTCTCTTATCTGGGTAAAAGCAGACACTTCTGAGACATGAGAACGGCCAGAAACCCCCTGTCCCAGGGAAGTTTTATGGCTGTGAAGACAACGAAAATGCGGTGCTGAGATGGACCTACACAAACAAACGTTGCTCCCCATTGGTTCCCCCACATATTTACCTTCCCATTGCTTTCCACTCCCGAAACCATTTTTCCTTTGTTTTGTCACTTCTCTACACATTTATTATTCTTGCTTAACATGCTACATAAGCCACAGATTGTAACCACTCCACTGAGTCACTCACCACTGCTTATTTTTCTCTTGTTAATCTGTCTTGTTAGCAGGGCCCCTGATGCCAATTCTTTGGAATCCACACTGGGGGTGACCTTCGCCAGCTGGAAAGGGCCTCCAGGGGCAGCCTTAGGGGACTGCAGACCGCAAGGCCTTATCCCCGCAGCCCCCCACCCAGCTGCCGGTTTCCCTTCCCAGGAACCAAAGGCAGTGCTGCTCAACGATCAGGAACGGGGGGTCCGGCTCTGGCACACACCTGTTCTCTGGGACTTGCTTGCTGTGTGACCTTGGGCAAGTATTTTAACCTCTCTAAGCCTCAGTATACTCATCTGTAAAATGGGGTTCATTGTAAAGATTGAAAGAGACTATGTAACATAGACCACTTAACCTGCACACTGTGCTCTCAGTAAACATGAGCTTTTGCATAAGCAAAGCAACCAAAAACAACCCATCTCTGGGACCATGAGGAAAGCAGAGGAGGCACTTTTGCATGTTACCAAACAGGATCAACCTTGAACCCTACCTGACATTTGGCCTTCTGTTGCACTGGAAGAACTGGGACAAGAACAGAGAACGCTTATTTATTTTGAAATTTACACTTTGCTAGCTCTGAATATATTGAAAATGAAAAATCTAATATGTAAGCCAAAAATGCCCCAGGAAGTGGTTTTCAAAAATTTTCCAGTCAGTGTCAAGTCTCATAAGGGGCTGAAGTCCTGCTCTAGCCATGAAAATACCATTAAAAAAATTACTTAAGGAGTGATTCTTATTTCAGATAAAAAGTAGGCTCTCCAGGTAAGATACTTACCTGTCTATTCAAATGGTGTCAGCATCAGAAACATCTGAGAACTTGTTAGAGTTCAGATTCTGGAGATTCTGATTCTGTGGGTCAGACTGGGCCTGAGACCTTGGAGGCTGCCAGCCTGTGGATCACACTTGGATTTAGCTGAGCTTTACTGAAATCTCCCAGTCCCCTTTTTTTCCCTTTTTTCTTTTAAAAGATTTTATGTATTTAATTTTAGAGAAAGGGGAAGAGAGGGAAGGAAACATAGATTGGATGCCTCTCTTGCGGGCTGGTCCAGCTGGGGGCTGGGCCCACAACCCAGGCATAAGCCCTAACTGGGAATTGGACTGACAGCCTTTAGGTTTGCAGGACGACGTGCAGCCCACTGAGCCACACCTGCCAGGACTCCCAGCCCTTCTTAATGATTCCCTTTCAAAAAATCACTTAAACAGAGGTCCGCGGTACAAAGCAAGATAACCCTCTAGCAACTGCTTCCCCCAGGATGGTTATGCCTTTTAGGTTGCAACTTATTTTGATAATTTAAAAGTAATCTATTTAGATTTCATTTCTCCAGAATGAAATACAATAATTTTACAAAAAATGAGATTGTTGGGAGTGTCCCGGTTCCACATCTACTGGGCATGGTGCTCAGTCTGGGAGCTCTTTGGGAGGAAGCAGTGAGATGGGAATTAAAGTGGGTCTAGGCACAAATCAAAGGAAATGGGAGCCGATGTGTACCCCCTCCCCCAGAGTCCTGTGCTCTCAGAGAGGCTGAAGCTACTGGCCATCTTCAGAGCAGAATGTTGCCTTGGTCTAAGGCCTTCAGGAACCCCACTGCACCAGGGCCCACGTGGGGATCAAGTGAGGCTCACTTGGTGACCCCGAGAATAGGGCTCTACTGCTTCTCTCAGGGTCACAGGAGAGCACCTAGAACTCTGCCGGGGGTCCTGTGAGCACACAGGGGTGCCACGATGCACTCCAGCCCAGTAGCTGGGTGCTGTTTGCCTGACATGCAGCAGGCACTTGGTAAGTGTTATGTCAACAAACTAAACAGTATGAGATCAATGGCCACTTTATAAAGTTGGTGAGAGTCAACTCTGTGTGAGAGGTGGCACCCCTTTTTGACTTCCTTTGCTCCCTCCCTTCCCTGCCCACTCCCAGGACCCCATGGATGATTCTGGGGGCAGTGCCCACCATGCTGGGGGACTCAGGGATTTGTCACTCACCAGGGTTAGCTTTCCGGATTTCAGTGTATACTGTCTCCGTGCTCTTCCTTCCCAGACCTGGAAAGGGACCAGGCACAGGTCAGTCGCTGCTTCTGGGTACCAGGTCAGGCTACTGCTGGAGCAGGAAAATATCTGAGGCTCCCCAGGCGAGGCTGCACCCTGCTCCCCCACCCCGCGAGTGCCCGCAGAACTTTTCCCCACTAAGCCCGGGCCATTTCCCAGCTTTAGAAGAAAAGTCGGCTCCCTTGCCTAACCAGCATCACTCAGCCTGGAAGTGTGAGGTCAATAGGTCACTGTGGGAACCCTGGACCTGAGGGGCCGCAGGTGGAGAGGCTCCCAACGCAGGCCTGTAGCCTCCAGTTCGGTGGCCTCACCCCACTTTCCCTGCCACTGTGTCCCTGTATCCAGCTGCTCTGCCAGCCTGTCCCAGGAGGTTGGGCTGTGGTCTCCCAATAGCCCCAGGTCTGGATTTCAGCCTGAGCATCATCTGTGATGAAGGATTAGCTGGGACTGAGAACCACTTATGATTCCAGACAGCTGGGCTACTTGAGTTCACATGCCAACAACTGGGCCTCACTGCAGATGCTGACTGAATTTGTCTGGGGTGGACCTTGGTTTGATTTTTTCTTTAAGCATTTTTAAAAGATTGTATTTATTTATTTTTAGAGAGAAGGGAAGAGAGCGAGAAAGAGGAAGAGAAACATTGATGTGAGAGAGAAACATCGATTGGTTGCTTCTTGTATGCATCAACATGGGACAAAACATGCAACCCAGGCATGCACCCTGACTGAGGATCGAACTGGCACTCAACCTACTGAGCCACGCCAGTCAGGGCTGGCTTTGTTGGTCTTTAAGCACTCCCCAGGCGACTCTAATATGCTGACTAGGTTGAGATCCTCTGGTCTGGACTCTTTTGAAACAGCAGGGAAGATGGGCCATCCCAGGTGTGGATTCCACCCAGAGGAGAATTAAGGGTTGGGGAGAGAGAGTGCCCGTTCAGCCATCTGTTTATGTAAATGCCCTGGTTGTATATACACACATGTACACACATTGTCAGTACATTTATACACATTGTACACACACATATAGTATCTACACACAGTATGCACATGCAGACACATACCCACAAACCCTCAAGAAACAGGATGGAACCCAGCCGCGTCCCTGGCTCCTCCCACCTGCACAAAGGACCAGGGAGCCTCATGGTGGAAAGGCACCTGACGGCCGAGCATTCTCCCTCTGCACATTGGGAAATGGAACCCAGACAGGGTAAGACACTTCCTACTGTCACACTCAGTGCCATGTAGATGTCCCTTCCTCAGTGGCAGATGGCAGGGGCACGCCCATGGACTCTAACTGGACTGAGATACACTCAGCCCACCATGCTCCAGGGACACCCCCCTCTCTCACCCCTGACCCTGAACAAACTCCTCCACTGCTTCCACTGCCCCTTCCCTTTGCCTCATTCCTCTTGTTCCTCCAGACCCCAGGATACACGCACCCACCCCCCACTCGCCCCTTCCCTGGCCCCTGGGCAGTTACTTAGGTCTCTATGCTCTCACAGCTCTCTGGGGACACTTGTCCATGACACACTGACATTATTTGTCCCCATGACTGTCTCCCCTGGTGGCCCCAGAACCCCTCCAGGGCAGTGTCTGGGGTCCTGGACAACTCCCAATCCCAGGCTGGGCAGAGCTACCCGGAGGCCCCTATAAAGGTTTGATGTGACAGTGGAGGCACCAGTCAATGTCGCTGTTGATGTTTCCATCTCAGACCCACGGACCTTCAGGAAGGTCTTGGCACTATCAACCCAATACCTGAGGCTTTGGTTTTAGGATGAAAATCCTGGTCATTCATTACACGCTGAATGGCGGTGGCTCCTGCAGCAGGACCCAGATGCCAGAAGAAAGGCTGGGGGGTGGTTCAGACCACCCGAACTTGGGACACTAGGGTTGCCAGGGCCATGCAGAAGGCATCACAGTGATCCCCCTGTGTCACGGAACAGGAGTGGGAACCCAGTGGAGTGGCTGAGATGCCAGGCACCTCCGTGATGGGACACCTGCCTTTCCCTAATAGGACAGCAGAGATGCCTACACCACTCTCCTTCTGTGACACAGATTTGAGGGTGGAGAGGGAAGCGCCAGGGATCCCCGTATCTGCGGGGGAATCTACCACATCCCCAAGGGACTCTCTGCTCAACGTTAGGCTTGGCAAGTCCCTCACTCAGTATGATCCTAATAGCTGCTGAGTGCCAGGCACCAGAGAAGAGGAAGAGGTGAATTGGAGCTGGTCCCAGCTTTCAGGAGCTCCAGGCTGTGGGGTGATGGATACGCAAACAATGTTGTAGGACACAGTGTACCAGATGCACCGGGTCACTGCCAGCTCATCGTCTGATCCAGTCCCACGTGGAAGTGGGGGAGGGATGGGAAAGGGATGGAGCTGGGGGCTGGGCAGCCAAGTCTGGGGGCCCAGACACCCTTGCGACCTCCACTGCCCCAGGCACATCAGGGGTGGCCGGTAGACCTCTCTGGTTACCTTGTGGACACTGACACCCTTTGGACCTAAAGAGCCACACTCAGCTCCCTTTCACCCCCTAACGGCCTATCAGCCTGGGCAACAGGGTGGCTGCCACTTCTTGGTGCCCCAGAAGTTTCCCCGGCTGCCCTTCTGGCTCTGTCCTGCTTAGTGGTGGGCGGGGGAGCTTGCAGTTCCTCACACTACACCGACCCTCTCAGCTCCCCAGCAGCCGCTGCCTGTTAATGACTAAACCAGCCAACAGGCTGTTTGTCTCTGCTGTCAGGGATATTTCCAGATGGGGCTTTATTTTGGCTTGTTTTTCTCTGTTAACAGAGAAAGAGATGGCTTCAACCTCAAGGGGGTTTCCCAGCAATTAGCCTCATAGCAAACATGCAGCAAACCCGGGTTCACCAAGTTCCTTCCTGTTCCTCCCCCACTCCCAAGGGACCTCTTGGTCAGCTGCCAGCCAGGGTTAGAAATGAACACGGGCTCTGGCCACATAGCTCAGTTGGTTAGAGCGTTGTCCCAGTACATCAAGATTGGGGGTTTGATCCGCTGCCAGGGCACATACAAGAAGCAACCAATGAATGCATAAATAAGTGGAACAACATGTCGGTGTTTCTCTCTCTCTCTCTCTAAAATCAATAAAAAATAATAATAAATGTAAAAAAAAAAGAAGAAATGAACGTACTCCCCTCCCCTGCTCCACTCCAAATATGGAGGAGAGAGGCCTTGAGGACAGGGCACTAGGTTGGCCAAGACCAGGTCAAATATAGTTACTCATCACAGGCCTTGTACCCACAAAGTCCTTTCCCAGCCTGGCAACTCCCCACTCAAGAGAAAGCAAGGGGGCAGCATGATAGGCCGAGCCTGCTCCCCCACGGCCCTTAGCTGCCAGAAAACTCAGTGTGAATCCTCTAGAAACTCTCCATCTCCACCCAAGTGACTGTCACGCAAGCTCTACGGAGGCCCCCACAGCCCACCCCGCACCTTTGTGCAAACTGGGTAAAGGTGACCACTTGTGTGGTTGCAACACTGCAGGTGCACAGCTTGGCAAGGAAGGTACCCTGCCTCACCCTGTCCTAATTCTTTGTTTCCCTTCAATGCCCTCTGCCCCCCACCTTCAAGCAAGAAAAATTTAACCAGACACTACTAACATGGAAGCGTTCCCACAGGACCTCTTTTCCAAGGCCAGAACCTTGCTTCCTTATTCCTCCTTCAGCGTCCCTACTTCCAAAGCCTCCCAGGCATCAGGCACCGCCCTCTTGATTCCATCTCAGTGGGTGTCCCCTTTGCCCCTTCCCCAGCAGCAGAGTAAGGGCAGGGCCTGGCCATCTGGGGGCAGGATCGGAACCTGAGGCTACAGCCCAGGGCAGTCAGTCTACAGGATGGTGCAGAGGGTGGGTTCCACACACATTCAAAACCTTTGGGCAGCCCTGCCCTCTTATTATGCTCCTTCCTTCTTCTGTGCCTGATGTCCCTGAAGAGGCAGTAAGCTGCTTCCCACAGACTGAGCCCAGGATGCCCAGTGCTGGAGGGACTGAGGCTGGACCAGGGAAGGCTGGCGGGGAGCCGCCTGCAGTTCCATCTGCCACAGCCCACCCAGACCCCGTTCTGAGCCTGAGCCCCGTGTGCTGCCTCCCCTTGGGCATCTCGGATTCAACCCAGCCGAACCACTCGTCACCACGGGCATGTTCCTCCCAATCACAGACATCACGGCCATCCATGCAGTAATGTGGTCTCCCCTGTTCTGGCCATGGAATGTTTCATCCAGTGCTGTGATCTGCCTCCAAAACATATCTGGAACCCATCCATTGCCAGCACTTGGGTTCGACCCTCCTCCCCTCTTGGCTGCTGATAACATCCTTGTCCCCCTTCATATCCATCCTGCACACCAGCCACGAGGATAGCTTTTCCCAGAAGGAAGCTGGAACCTGCCACTTGCGTGCTTAAAGGTTTCCAACTCCATTGAGACTAGCAGCAAAGAGCCCCTTGGCGGCCCAGCAGCCCGGGCCCCCTCCCCGCCCTCCTGGGGCCATCTGCCTCCTCTCGCTCTCGCTCTTGCTCTCTCTGCAGACACCCAAGTCTCCTTTAATGAGCCCAGCTCTGGGCCACCTTACACTACCCTTGCCATTTCCTGGGTCCTTCCTCCTCTGGGTGGAGCCACCTTCTTTGTGCCCCTCAGGCTGCAGCTTAGATGCCACCCCTCAAACAGGCCTCCAGGGACCGCCCAAGCCGGAGTAGCCATTACCTTTCCTGCCTTCTCATTGTACCCCCTTCTCTTCCTTCTGAGCACTTGCTATAACCTTGCTACAATTTATGCTTTGGTTCCTTGTTTTCTCGGCTCCCTCAGAGAAAAGGAAGCCATCACAGGCCCACAATTTATTAACTCAACAAATGAACCATTTTACCATGAAACAAAGAGGAAGAGAACTTCAGGCCTGCCATGGTCCCCACTCCTCCCAGGTCCAGCCTCGATGCAGAAGCGGGCTATGCAGCTGGGCCGCGCCAACTCTAGGGGCCATTCTGACTGCAGGCTGTGGGGCCGGTGCCCAGCTCACAGCCTGCGGGCCGCACAGGGCAGCGCGCTCAGAAGGTTCTCTGCACACACCCGCTGACACGGTACCCAGAACCTAAGCAAGGGGAAAAGGAAGGAACCCCAAATCCTCCCAGGTTGTAGAGCAAGATGTGGTGAGAGAACACCATCACCAAGTGGCTCGGGCTAACGCTCTGCAGGCTGTCCCTGGAAAACAGCCCCAGGCCTGCCTGGCTGAGCAGGCTCAGCGGCCTCAGCTGCAGCAGGCCCGGGGGTGTTGGCAACAGCCCTATGGGCCTCCCAGCAGCTGAGATCAGCGTTCTGGCATTTTCTGTGGACCGGCCCACTCTGGGCCACTCTCTCCAGCTCAGAACCAGGGCTCGGGCCCTCCAGGCCAGCCAGCTCCTGAGAGAACCATGTACGTGAAAACAAAACCTGGGGCTAAAGATAGAACCATGATTTACAAGGAAGGGAATCTGTGTTTTCAAAATCCTTTACCCAAGTGTCTCCTTAAATAGCAAAGCCCTCACTATCTTCAAACATATGCCCAATTTACACATGCTCAGCCTGCAAGCCGCTTTTTAAGGAGGATGCTGGGTTTGGGTAGGAGGCGCACCTAGACACCCAGACACCCAGGAGAGAGGCAGCTCTCAAAAGGTCGCTCAAAGAACCCATTCCTTAGCACTTAGTAATTGGTCAATAAAACATATCCACTATTAATAGTATGATAAATAATAATTAATGAAATTTTATACCTCAAAGCTTGGGCAGGGGGTCACTGCTCCTGCCTTTGGCATTTCCAGCAGGTCTGTCTGCTAACCACCTCTTTTCTGAGTGACTGACAGTGATTAGACTCTTGTCCTTGAGTCACAGGCCACCTCCCCCTTACGCATCTACACCCAAGGAGAGAGCAAAGCGAGGGGAATCACTCCACTGATAGCGTTTACCTTCATGCGGCTTAAGTGCAGTCACCTCCACTTCTGTGTACTCCACGTCCAAGGTCAGAGGCTCTGCTCAAAGGAAACACATCACCGGGTGGTTAGAATCCCATTGGGCGGGGGTGGGAGGGAGCAGGGGTCGAGGGCTCAGATCACAGTAGAGATTTCCATTCAAATGCTTAATGTATTCTGTATTTTGAGGGGAAGACAGCACAGGGGTAACTCCATCCTAAGTGGGTGAGAAGCCTCAGTCTGGGGAAAGCCAGGGTAACCCTGCACTTGCTGGACTGCGGAAGGACCCTCCTGCCTGGGTCCCCATGGTTTCTGCAGTGGGAGGATCTGGGAAAGTTCAGTGGGTACAGAAAACAGCCAGCATCAGCCACAGCGGTTAACTGTAGACGCCACAGGGGCCACAGGCAGAGAATGCTCCCTCCAGGAGGGGAAGGCTCTCAGGAAATGGGGAGCGGTCGGGCGTCCCCAGCCCAGAATGCCCTGAGACTGTGCTATGTACACAGAGAAAACAAGTTAATGAAAGCGATCGGGGCGGCACAGCGAAATCTAGCAAATTAGCTTGTTTTCAACTCCATATAACATTACTATTTTACTTTTGAAGCCCCAAAGAATCAGGGTTTTTCATCAGCAACTAAAATTGATTTTGCAGTCAAGATATTTACAGAGCTCATGCAGTTCTTTAGAGTTCTCGTTCCAGTGAAAGCAGCCCCAAGGGGAAAGGTATTTTGAAAAATGATGGAGCCCAACCCTTCTGAGCTTTAGGCAGAAACAAGCAATCTGTCGTTAACTGCTTTAAAAAATAAACAGCAGTGTATTTTACTAATTTTTTTATAATGTAGTTTTCATTTTTATAAAACAATGAGTAGGCCCAAAATATTTGTAAGCTATGCATAAAACGGAAACAATCACAATTCGATAGATAACTGCACGCCACACCATCACCCTTTTTAAGAAAAAGACCATTTTCATGTCCTTCGAGGAGGACTGTGTCGTGCGTCCTCCTCTCCTGCCCCAGCCCTTTCGCGCGTTTCTCCCGGCTTTATGGAGACAGAGTTGACATAGTACGTGTATAAGTTTAAGGTGTACAGCCTAAAGATTTGCAGTGATGCTATTTAAATTTTAAAAACCTCCTCCTCTACTCTCCAAGGAAAAGGAGATTCTCCTACCTTATTCAATAGTCCATCCTGATATTGGAAGTTCCTGTTTGAGTCTAACCCAGTTCTTTCCTACTGGAATTTAGGTCACTTTCCCACTAAGGACACAAGATAATGTCTTTGGAGAAAGCAACCAGCTGTCGCGAAGAGATGTGGGGAAATACCCACAGGTGTTAACAGTTTAAGTTCTTTTCCTAGGGGTCTTTTTTAATGTAAAATTTTCTAATTAAAAAAAACCCTAAATATATAATTACCTTTATTGTCACTTATTGGTTTCATGGCATGGTTTCCAATATCTTCACTGTAATCTAGTTTAAAAAATAACAATTAGGATGGGTGGCAATGGAAATCCTAGTTTTCTATATATAACTTTTAACTTTTTTCTCCCTCCTTTCCCCACCAGGGCAGAGTATCTGGGCTTTGGATTCCCTCCTGATCTCCCTGTGGCCCCATCCAACCCAGTGTGGTCTCTCTCTCTCTCTCTCTTTTTTAAATCCTCACCCGAGATATGTTTATTGACCCTAGAGAGAAAGGAAGTGGAAGTGTCAGGGGGAAGCAGAGAGGGAAACATTGGCGTGAGAGAGAAACATCGATCGGTTGCCTCATGAACATGCTCTGACTGGGGATTGAACTTGCAACCTTTTGGTGCCTGGGATGACTCTCCATCTACCTGAGCCATCCAGCCAGGGCTGTGTGGCTGCTTTCTAACACCACTCAGATGGCCACCATCCCACACGAGGGACACTTCTGCTTATGACTAGTTCAAGATTCACATTGTTCACTTTGAACACGTTCATTAGAAATTAAACTTAACTGCAGAGGGTATGGCTCTGTAACCACAACCATGAGGACGCTGGGAAATGAACCCTCTCCAGCTGGAGGGTGGGGTCCATGAGAACATGGTTTAAAAGGCAGAGCCTCCAGGCTGCCACCTCAGTAGGCAAACACATTTTTAATCTTTTTAATCAAGTTGTTCTGTACTGAAAAGAATTCTTCTGAATGTTATAAATACTATTCTTGAAGAAAACATGGCTTTCATTATGGATTTGAACTAATTGCTGTTGTGATTACTAACATATATTTATAAAATGAAATAATCCATGGAGAGACGACAAAAGAATCGGACCATTTCTTGCATTTTGGAAATTTGGGGGGAAATCCTATTTTAATATATGTATATCAGCATTTAATATAAAGTATCTGTATTTCTGTACAAATAATGCAAATAACCATCAGAACCCACCTTATACCACAGGAAAGTATTTTCTTTGTAAGATTGGATTACTTTTTGCTAAATATTCAGTGAATTTTTCTGAATGGAGTTTCTTAAGTGATATATTTGTTGTTTTCTCTTTATTGGCACATTTCTTTTGTTACTACAAATGCTTCATTTCACTTTTTAAAGGCTTGTGATTCATTACTATGAGAATTGCTGAATTCTTAAAACATATCTCTCAAGCATGCCCTATCAAATACATATCCTGAACTTTTCTTACTTTACGGAATACTGTTACTGAATTAGAAAAGAACATGGGCGTTCTATTCCCAAACCTGCTGGAAGAAAACTGCTCCACATCTGGCTTTGGACAAAACTTTCTGTGTGATGTAGTATGTCTCCTCTGGAGCAATTTTCTGTTAGACCTAATGGGATTAAGAACTCCTAGAATTGGCTACCCACCCTCCTGAACTGACTCAAGCTTGCAATAAAGCTCATAACCAGGCATTCCTATGTTGTTCCATTATTTTTAAAAATGCTTCTACTGCCCTCACTCATGTGGCTCAGTTGGCTGGGCATCGTTCCACAAAGAGAAAAGCCACCGGTTTGACTCCCAGGTCAGGGCACATACCTGGGTTGCTTGTCTGGTCCCCAGTCTGGGCGTGTATGGGAAGCAACCAGTCAATGTTTCTCTCTTACATTGACCTTCCTCCCTTCCCCACTCTCTAAAAATAAATAAATTTTTAAAAATGCTTCTACTAACAAATATTTAAATTGGTTTCCTGCTGTGTCAAGTTTGAAATGAAAATGTCTTGTGCTTATTATAAGTCCATCTGAGAAGATGTTTTACGAATGCTGTAATTTGCTGTCTGGTCTTTCTTACACAGGAAGGATAGTTACACTTGGCAATGGTCAAAGTCTTTGAAGATGACCCGGCGCGGGTATCCACAGCATTATAATTGTTGTCTGCCTGCCATTCCTCAGGATGTTTAGAAGGAGGTGAAATGAGGGTAAAATGTTCTGCCTTTCTCCCATGTTTTTGTTTTGCGTATCAGCTCACCCTGCAACCACTGATTGGAGTGAGTGCTCCTGCCTGAAGGCGGGGCTTCCTTAGGGAACCTTACCCCCTCCACCCGCAGATTCCGTGTCTGAGCGGGGTAATGGAGTGGGCAAGTTAGGAAAACCTCTTAGCAACTGCAGAAAACCGTGACTCTACCGTAAGGTCTGTTGGCTTCGGTACTAGAATCTGACATCTTCTCGTTGTTGGAGGTTAGAAGTGGTACTGCCGGCCTTAAAATAAAATTTGAAAAGGAAAAAAATGTGTGACCTTTTTTTGGCTCTAACGTCAAACCAATAAAATAATCATGGAAAGACCAGGAGAAAACCAGGAAGAAATTTCCAAAGTGAGGCAAACTTGACTCTTATTTGGAAATTGAACATTTTTTTTTTCAGTTGTTGGATTATTTAACAAACACTTTTATCTTGTTAGAATATATGTCAAAGCCAAAGGGCATGTGAAGAACAGGAGTCCTTTCCTAGGTGAGTCCCACCCTTGAATTCCTCAGTCTGTGCTACAAAGCTGTTGTTTGTGTGCTTTGGGATTTTGGATTTCCAGAACAGTAAGAATAGTACACCCACTTTTCTTTTCTAGGCCAACTCTACTTTGCCAAGTAAATAAAAATTTTTCATTCTCTCTATTACCATTATAATCTCATCATGAAAAGAGGATTTTATATGTAACAGTGTAGGAAGGACATGACCTCAAAATAAAGCCATTACTTCCCATGACAGGACAGTTGGCAATCTTCCACTGTGACACCCACACCCACACCCACACCCACACTTTACACTACTCACACCCTTATTATTCTGACTTTCCCAAGAGCTACTGAAAACTTTCTGATGACCAGACTCTCCCTACAAACAATGCTCACAGGGCGGCCACACTGACCTGGACATTTCCACTGGCATCTGCTTGGCTTTAAAAGAGAAAGAGAAAAACCAAAGTCAGTAAAAAAGTACTCGCATCCATAACAGAGAATACTCATTTCAACCATGTTTGACTTTCTTGAAGATTTGGCTACCCATAAAAAGAGGAAAGAAAGCCAAATATATTTATGCTTTAAAAAAAAGAGAAAAATTAAACCAAGTAGGTCTTCTCTTCATCTTATGCTGAGAGACTTCCCATCATTTCATCCAGAAATATAGTGTTTTGTTGTGTGAACCAGGAACTATTTTCTTTAGAGGAATGTGATGGAGATGAAGACAATGATACAGGAATCAGATTAGCCAGACAAAAGGGCAGCTGTCTATTTGATTCAGGATTGTGCCAAAGAGCAAAGGCTAAATTAACCCTTGGGCTTTGAATTCCATGCTGGCCTGAGACCAATCTATCCTCTAACCCTGCCTGTTCTGCGATGACCGATTCCCTTAGGAAGGGGTTTGTTCTAGGGCCTTCTTCTCAGAGGGATTTCCTGTTCTGGAAAAAACCCAGGGCCCCTCCTTATCTCATATGCCCCCACTCATCCCAGGTAGTAACACCAGGGCCCCAACAGAAACAGCCTTAGCCCACACAAATCTTGGCAGAATTTACTGGTGCTGTGCCCTTTCCTTTGAGCGCAGACCAACTAACTGTGATTCCAGAGTGTCAGCAGGTGATCCTGGCCTCCCTTCCATGTGTGGCTAGCCTCAAGCACAGGTAGAAATCATGGCACAATAGGCAGGTTAACTGGGGGGCGTTTGTTGTATGTGGGGGCATCTCCATCACACTCACACCCCAGTCTACCTATTGCAGGACTAAGTGTGGTCAAATCCACAGAAACGTCTTCCTCTGGCCATACCTAGAAGGAACTTTCCCCTGAATTTATCTTTTCTGGGTTGCCTAGCTAGGGAAGCAATCCTTTTCATTGTTCTAGCTAAGTCAAGGGGCAGTGAAAGCTCCACACCCACCAAAGCCAAGATCTTTGGTTATCAAGGTTACACCCTAAGGAGAAAAACAACTGTCATCAGTTATATCTCTTCAGCTCCCATTGGCAGAGAGCACAGCTCCCCATAAAGCTGAAGGCCCTCACATCCATGGCTGGTTTCCTGGCAAGGGCAACCTGTCAGAAGGCAACAAGAGAACTGTGCTCACCCTTGGCTTTCTTCAGAAAATAGCATCTGGCCCCAAGTATCAAGATGGCAATTATCACTACGATGACAACCACCGCAATAAGTCCTTTCTTCCATGGGGCAAGAAAGACTGAAAGTAAGAAAAATTTAAAAAGATAAATTTTTTCTCTACCAGCAAGAAACAACATTAGCATTAAGTGACAAAGACTGATTTTTAGCTCTTGTAACAGCGTCTTACACTGAGCACCTATCTACCTCTGAGGGATTTTGTGTTCATAGTTGGTGCAGAAATGGTTGCCCTTGTTACAGAGACAGCTGTGGTCTTAGAGGAGTATAGGACTGATGTAGACTCCTTTCTGGGTCTGTTTAGTCCTCTTCTCTAGGAAACCACCCTCCAAATTCATGTAGCTGGGCTCCTCTAACCACCTCTGTTCTGCATGACCCAATCCCCATGGCCACAGGTGATTCATGGGTGGACGTTTGACTCAAGGTGGGCCATGTGCTCTCTCTCCACCGAGAATTTGGAATTACAACTCTGTGAAATACTTTGATTCCTTATAATGACCAGTTCCTCTTTTACATTTAATTTGAGTGGGTTTCTGTCACTTACAACAAAATAGCCTGGAGGACATTGATGCCTTAGCTCTCCCGTGATAAGTGCTGGACTCCCACCTATTTCCTCTTACAAGTGGTGAGCTTTCTGGCCTCGCACTTCGTGACCATGTCCGCACTGCATCTCACTGCCGAGACCATGACTCACCTCTGACTGTCAATATGGTGCTTTGGGGGGCCGTTCTGGCACGGTTGGCTCTGTTGGAGGCTGTGCAGTAGTACTGTCCATCCTGTTCCATGCTAGCCTGTGTCACGTGCCAAATGGCCTGGGTGTCATTTAAGAGGATTTCATAGAAGGGCTTGACCTCCTTTTCTCTGTAAAACTTGTAGGTGATTGGACCAGATGCTTTGTTTGTGAAGCATCGAAGCACCAATTCTTCCCCAGACTCCACTGTCTTATCATTCAAGATAGATATCTTGACCTCATCCACTGGGACTGAAAAGCAGGAAAAGGATTAGCACTGAAAAAAGACGGGTGGGGTGGTGGGCATGACGCAGCCACTGCTCCTGGCCAGCCCCTCCTATGCCATGACTCAGACTTGATTTTGTCAGTCCTCTTATCCCACATTCTTCAGTTCCTCCCCTAATTAGCCCAGCAGGACGGATGCCTCCTGTGCTCCTGTGTCGATTAAACACAAAATGCTCGGGACATTCCCCTTCACTTGCCGCCTCAAATATTACTGACCATTTGGCTTGACTATACCTATTAACTTAGGAGTTGTGTTGAGGTCTGTTTTGGGAGTCTGTGAGTGCACATCAGCACGCGCATGTGTGCATGTTGGGGGGTAGGGGTGGTTTCTCTCCCTCTGCTTACAGAGGTGCATGGCATTTCCAGATCTTATGAACAAATAATTTGACTCACAACCTTCCTGTTTTTCTCTTTTTTCCTTTTTGAGTGAAATGTTCCTTTTCCTTTTCCCCCTTTCTTGTTAGCCCTGAAATCTGACTTCCATCCCTCTGCTCCTGGAGTTGTACTCTACCGCTGGTTTTGAAGAGACTCCAAAGGTGCCTTGGTCCCCTGACTAGCTCTTCCCTGAGTCCACAGCAGTGTCCTCATCCTCGGCCTCCCCACGGCTCTCACCTGTCACAGCCCTTCCTTCTGAACTCAGCTTCTTCTGGGCTTCTGGGACGCCTCACAGCCCAGATCCTCTCATCTCCTTACCTGCCACTCCCTCTTTATTCACAAGCTTTTCTTCCTTCTGCCTTTTAAATATAGGCTTTCTGCACAATCCAGTCTTCAGTTTTCCCTCTCTATTCTCCTTTTTGGTGATTTCACCTACGTCATTGTTTCCCTTTGTGCATTTAACACATAAACCCGTAGCATTTAATGCCGACATACATAGCCCTAGCCCAGGTTACTCCCCTGAATTCCAAGTCTTGGTTTTTACCTGGGCGTTTCTACCTGGAAGCCTGTCAGCCTCTCATTCCCAGCAGATCCAAGCAGAACTTATCTTCCTCCTTTATCCCCTTTCCCTGGTTCCATGTTCAACCACCAAAATTTTGATCCTAAGTTGTCTTTCCATGGAGACCTTCCTATTAGTGTGAGGATGGACTGGTTGGCAGATTGGCATCTGACCTATGAATCACCCTTGTGAGCACAGTGGGCGGCCGGACCATGGGACTGCTGGTCCAGTGAGCCCGAGCCCCAGACCTGGGGTGAGATGGTGGAGGTCTGCCACAGGGCAGGCTTTTGACGGTGCAGCCTGACCCAACAGCCTCTTTCCTTGTGCAGCACAAGGGGGCAGTGGCACGCTGGGACCAGGGGCCCCACTGCCTTGCCTCAATTTCCAGCCCCGCTGCCTGCCAGCTATTTGTCTTAAGCCTTATTTTCCTCTTCACAAAACAAGGATAATATTATTATGGGCCTTACATGGTTCTTGTAAGTATTAAGGGAACTAACTTATGAAAATATTTCCCACAGGGGTGGACATGTGGTCAGGTCTCAGTAAATGTTAGCCACTAATACAGACCCAACTTAAACCAACGGTCTCACATGGGCTTCTATGTTAGCTTCTTAAGGTAGCATGAGGTCTAAAGTCAGCACTTTTTCTAACTGAGAGAGATACTGGGTTAATGTTCCCACGACCCAATTCTCACGTCCACCTTCCCTCTTTTAGCTCTTCATTGTACACAAGACAAATCCCAGCCCTGAAGACTGGCATCGGATGCCCTTCCCCATTGGGGTCAGTCACTCTTCCAGTTTACATCCAGTGATTTTCCATTCCCAAATTTTGTTTCCAGGCACCTTATTCACCCACAGTCTTTTGAATGAGTCCATGGAAGTTTTGCTTAAGTATTTGACTCGGCTGGTAGGCCACCTCTAGCCCTCTCTGCCCATGTGTTGTCACGCCCCGGCTCCTAACCCAGCTCTTCCCACTCAGGCTAGGTCATATCCTCTTGCCCTAAATTCCTATCACCATCACTGTAAGGATACTTCATGTGGCAATTAATGCGCTTCTTAGTAACGTTTTTCTATGCTTATTTGTACTGTTATTCAAATATATCCAAATATTTTCCCACTATTTAATCAAGTGGTCCTGTGTTTCTTGTTATATTATTGAAAAGAAAGAATATGGCTTTTTTGATATGCATTATAGCATTAGGTGTTTAATATATACGGATGTTAATTTGAAAAGTGCGGCTACTCTTAGACTGTATACTAATAGTAGCAGGAATCTCTAGCCAACTCAAGATGTCCACATGGTGCATGTAGATTAAAGTTATTAAACAAGAAGGAAGAGGAGGAAGAGAAGGAAAACTTCTAAGCTTTTCACGAGAGCATGCAGAACACCTCAGAAGCAGGCAATGCTGCTCCTAAGGCCGTCTGAGAGGCGCAGACGAAGCCTCAAGGAAAACATCCACCCCAGGATGATGGTATTTTCCTCTTGCATATGAGAGTCCCAGGTGAATGTTAGCAAGCCTTGTGAGACTACAGCCTGCAGCTCTAATTGCTGTGCACTCTGCATGCAACAGTTTGCCCAAGGGTCAACTTGTAGAGAAGAACTCTGGTCAACAATTCTGAGATGGCTGGCCTTTTCAGTTCACCTAAAAAGGGAGCAAATGCTAAGAGAACCCAAAAACACAACTTTAGAGTTTCCTGAAGTTGGGATATGTCACTCATATTTTAGCAGTTCACCGGAAAGGTCCTGAAGAGAGAGGACACTGGCCACACCTATAGAACCTGGATATTTTCTGGCCCCATTGACCTGGGCCTTGATCCTGCTTTGCCACATGTCGCATTTGTGGATTTCACATAATAAGTCACACCCCCTTCCCTGGTCCACACCACCCCTGAGCAAACCCAAACCTCTGAAAATGTAAAGTAAAGCCCCAATCTCTCATGATTTCTTCTCATAGCACAGCAACTCACCTATCACCTTGATCGACAGAAGGTCACTGAATATTTCAGGGCGGGAATGGCAATTATGTGCGATGCACTGGTATTCGGTATCTTCCGTGGGGTTATCTTTGAATACTGCAGGCTCATTTGAGCTTACGTTGTGACTCTTCAAAATGTTATTTCTCTTTAGAAGGCGATACGAAACAGGTGAGGTTCCATTTATGGATTGGCATTTGACTTCTATGGTCTGTCCTTTTATCACCTCAGACTTGGAGTCATAAAAAATCCTGGGCTTCGAGAGCATTTCTAGAATGACAGAGAGAGGAACAATCTGAAACAAGACCTGCAGCCCTAGCGAGTCTTTCTTCAAGCTCTAAGCTTGCTTTCTCTGCCATTACTATAATTGTATTTTTTTATTAAATTTTTTTATTGATTGATTTTACAGGGAGAGAGGAAGGGGGAGAGAGAGAAAAAGAGATACATCGATTTGTTATTCCACGTGTTTATATATTTATTGGTTGATTCTTGTATGTGCCCTGACCGGGGATCAAACCTCCAACCCTGGTATATCAGGATGATTTCTAACTGACCGAGCCACCTGGCCAGGGCTCATCACTGTAATTTCAAATGCCTGCCTGCTCTATCTACCCTTACAGGACTCCTTTAAAATTGGCAGGTAGTGTGCATGCACGTGTGTGTGTGTATGGTGAAGAGAGGGAAAGAAAATGCTATAAACAAAAAAATATGACACAAATTCAATAAAAATATCACATCCATCTAAATACATGTTTATACTTTCATGTATCTCACATGCATATACACGCACATCCATGTGGGGTTTTTTTTTTGTAATTGGGAAAAGACGCAGGAAAAGCATTTTTTAAAAAACCCAAGAACACAAACAGAATATATTTTAAAACAAACTCCCAGTGCCTCAGCCTCTCCTGATTAGATATTGCATACCGCCAAAACAAGAATTCTACGGGGTCATTATTTAGAAGTCAGCTTAATTATAAAGCTTATATAATGAAATGACCTCCTCCCAAGAACAACAAAAAGAATTAAAATGGAATGACCCAAGTCTGTCTCTTGCATTATTTCCTTTTGAGTTAGATGACCAGAGAATTGACAATACACTAAAATCCTGGCTCTGATCAGACTAAGATCTTGGCCGGAGAAATCATAGCCACAGGTTAAACAGATGGAAAATGACCGAATAATCGCAGTGATAGTGACAGCTTGACCACATTCATTTAGAACCCTCGACTCAAAGCACAGTCCCAGGCCCAGCAGGACCAGCGTCCTCCAGGCTCTAGTTAAGATGTGGAATCTGGCCTCATTCCAACCTGCAATCTAACCAGGTTTTGCACATTCATTCAAATCTAAGAAGCTCATTCTGGGTGGTCCCAGTGCCTACGTTCTGCCCAACAGAGGCCTTAGACCTTCTGGTCAGCCAGGATAAGGATTAAAAATGGAAACTTTGATCTTAAAATCTAGTGTTGACTAAGCCATGTTCCCTCCCTGAACTTGGGGGTAGATGCCTGTTTCCACAGCCAGAGTCCTGTCAATTCAAAGGCCGCGACCTTGTCAGCATGCAGCCGCAATAAAGACATGAACTTGATTTGTGCCCAAAGTATTTTCTTTGTGTTGTCTCTCTCCTGTACTCTAAGCAGAAATACCACTTCCTTCTGTCCAGTCTCTCCATTTCATTCCTCTCGCCTTCCCTCAAGTTCTTACCCAGTCTCAGTCTGCTCCGCCTTCAGACTGGACAGGGTGGCAGCTGGCAAAAAATTCCCTTTCTCCTGTTCCATCTCGAGACTCCCTGAGCTAGCAAGGACGTACTCACCACACACGGTTATCCAGACTGTGTTGCTTTTCTTGAGCACCTTGCCGATGCCTGCGACGCAGGTATATGCCCCGCTGTCCCACTGGGAGGCTTTCATGGTGAAATTTTGAGACAACGATATGGTCCTGTCACCCTTCTGGATAGTGAAGTTGGCTTCGGGTGCTCCTGGGATGGAGCACCACAGGTCCAGATTTTCACCCTGGTCCAGACGTGTGGCGGAAGATTCCAGCTTTGGTTTGGAAAATAGCTCTGAAAAACCGATGAGTGGGCATGGAGTGAGACATTTCCAGAAACCACTCCCAAAGCCCCTTTACAGAGAGTCCCTTGGCCTAGCTGCTTTTGGCAGAGCCAGCTGCCAGCTTCCTGCAAAAAGTTTTTCTTTGCTTCTCAAATACCTGATAATCATACAATTAAATAACTAAAGTTCATTCTTCACCTGGGATTCCAATGGCAGTTTGGCTCCCTTGTTAATCCAGTTTATTTCACAGGCATGGACGAGAAAAGTTTTGCAACTTGTAATCATTCATGCATTCACCCATTTACTCATTCACTCACACATTTTATTCCACGAGTATTTATTTCAGGCTCTTTCTGTGCTGGGCACCTTGCTTGGCGTTAGGCAAACAACAATGAGAAAGGTAGAGTCCCTGACTTCAAAGTGTTACACCTGCTGCGCGATTAAGAGACGGTGTTTGCAGCAGAGCCCACAGAGGCGACACTGAACCCAGGCTCAGGGGCAGGAAAGGACTCCTGGAAGAAGTCATCCCGGCAAAGGGGAAAGAGGTCCTAGGCACAGGGAACAGCACATGGAAGACCTGGCAGGAGGTTCAAGCACCTGAAAGTCCAATTGGCCTGGAACACAACGGGAGTAGAAGAGGCCAAAAGAAGGCCTGTGGGTGCTGAAGGACCTCAGGAACTGCATAAAGAAGTGCGGGGTGCATCCTCGGGCGACGGGAAGCGTGGAGAGCCTGGGTCAGGGGAAGACCACCTGTGTGTATTTTGGAGAGATCTCTGGGAGCAGAATGGGTGGGCGATACCCGCTTGGGTTAAGTTGTAAGCTGCAACATTCTATGCCACTCTAAGGAATTATTGGTACCCTAATTTAGGTTGGATGGCAACAGTAGTAAGGATGGAAGTTCACTTTTAAGAGGCTTTGTCATCCCATTATTTAAATATTTCCTGAAATACATCAAGATTTCATAGTTATAGTATATGCTTGTATTTTCAGCTACAGGGAAAGTACTCATTAAGTATGTAGCCAATGTGAAGGCTTGGCTCTTTCATGTAAACTGACACATACTGACTTCACGGCTATGCCCTTGATGCAGAAGCAAGAAGGAGTTACTCAAGAATTACTGAATTCTTGAGGCTATCTGCATATTGAGAAAAGAACTGAGTTCCAAAGTTCCTCTTAGGAAAGCTTCTTGGGCTAGCGGTTTGAGAATGCACCCAGCAATCAGGAGATTGAACTCAGCCTTTGCCTCTCAATTTGCCTGCTGTACAGGTTTGGGGTAAAGATCGACACTGTCATTGTCATCAGTGATGTTACATTGTTACAGAAGCCATTTCCATCTTAATCAGTCTGCAGTGCCATCCTAGCTTCCTGTACAGGAAATAGAATAAAACTTCAAATACGGCAATGTCCCAATAACTAATCTACATTTCATTAAGGCACATGCCACCCTTCCTTCCTCCTATATGATAAGTATTAACTTAGCTGTTTTCAGAGCTCTAGGTTAGGGGTGGGGAAAAGAAACGAAAGAAACTGACATCCTGAAGTGTGGTACAATCTCACTGGGCAGGTACCAAAAAATGGGAAAAAGCGACTTACAAAAAAAAAATCCCAAAGCCATGACTGCATTTAAAAATATGCAAACAAAAATGTAAAAAATAGAAACCCTGTTGCTGAGGTGGGTACAAGATGGTTTACAATTAGGAAGGAAATGTGAGGAAACAGTGGCTGGTAAAGGAGATAACATAAACAGACGGGCAGGACCGTGACGTGGACTAACCAGGATCAGCCTTGCGCTCCCTCACGAACAAATGTTTATTGAGCTCCTACAAAGTGCCTGCTTCTGTGCTAAGTACTGATGATTTAAGATGAACTGAGCCACAGACCTGGTCCTTCAAGAGTTCACAGCGAGTGGCGAGATAGATGCTGAATCTTTGCAGGGACCGTTGCTCTCAGGACACAAGCAGCCTGCACTGGGGCCAGAGGAGTGGCCGTGGGGCTCTGCCTGGGGAAGGCTGGAGGGAGATTTGGGGCTTGGTCTTTAAGGGCAACAGAAGTTTTTCGGTGGCCAAGAGGAAGGGGTGGTCTGAGTGGAGAGGAATATTTGGAAGAGGGCAGGGTCAAGGTGGAGAATCACGACCGCGCTGGAAGGATTGAAGCCCAAGAATAGTTATGTCAGATAGGGGCCTTCTTAGGAGGGCTTGTCCTGCAGCCGCTGAGCATGTGTTGGAACAGGGATGCCCGGGGGTCCCTGCGGTGATCCTGGTATGAGGGCCAGGGTTAGGGTGTGATTGTAGAGCCGAGAAGACGGGACAGAGGTGACAGACCTGGCAGCACTTGGTGACATATTGGGTCTGGAAAGGGAAACGGTGGAGGGTAGAATAAACACTTTTTCTATACAAAGACAAATGACTAATTCAATGACTTTTTTATGTTCACAAAATTACTGTGAGCCTCCAATATTGCTGTATAGAGCCATTTACAGTGAGGCTTGTTAGAAACAGGAGCATGGAAAACCAAATGCATAAGGTCTTGGAGACTTTTCCAAAGGCTTGGTTGAACTTGAACAAACTCACAGCGCCCACAGGCTGGGGGCATGGAAGGGCTGACTGAGCAGAGCACTTTGCTTTCTTGGGCCTGGGAGATTGACTGACTGCTGGCTTGTATACCCTACAGGACACAGTCTTCTGGATGCGGGTGATTGGCTACAACAATAGCTAGTATCTTATTCCAGTGACGCTTTATGCTTTCCTAAAACAGCCTGGCCAGGGGTAAGGATGCATCTCTAACGGATGAAGCAGTCCATGTGCTCACCAGTTGGTCCCTGTTGCTCTCACAGTCGTATGCCCATCCCTTTATTCACTTCCTCATAGTGCATTCTATTTTTTTTTAAATCCTCACCCAAGGATATGTTTATTGATTTTAGAGAGGAAACGAGGGGGGGTGTATGTGGTAGACGAGAGAGAGAGAGAGAGAGAGAGAGAGAGAGAGAGAAACAGTGATCGGTTGCCTCCCATATATGCCCCAACAGGGGATCAAACCCACAACCTTGTGATGTACAAGACAATGGTCGAACCAACTGAACCACCTGTCCAGGGCTGTGCCGCAGTCTAATGATCTATTTATGGCTGTGACTTCTTCAAGGGCAAAGCCTGACCTTCAGCAGCTCTCTATCCTCAATAGGTTGCCCAGCAAAACAGAAGATACTCAATATGCAACACAGAAGATGTTGAATTAAATATGTTTCTTTAAAAACATAAGACTTATCTAATCAGTAAAAAATATCATGTGTCCTCAAAATATTTATAATTATCAATAATAAACTAAATTGCTAGCACACACAATAGACCTGCAAAATCCAGCACCTATGCCAATCGCCCATTTGGGTAGTTGGCAGCCGACCCATGATCCTGGGGACGGGTGCTGCGACTGTACACTCAGTGCTTAACACATAGGAGGTTTTCAGCAAATGAGTCAACAAATGAAGGAATGAATGAACACCTTCACTTGGAAACCAAGAAGTGCTGACTCTCTGCCCTCTGAAACACTGCCATCCTATGTTCATTTGTTCATGCAACAAATAAGTATTGAATTCCTACTATGTGCTAGGCCATGTTCTGGGTATTAACAGTGTAGCACTGTGTAAAAAAGTATTGTTCCTGCCCTAATCAGCTTACATTATAGTGTCTGAATACATACAATAAACAGGAAGAAGTAGAGTACTTTTTTTTTTTTTTTGGTAGAAAGAGCTATAAAAAGAAGTAAAGCTAGGTAAGGAGGAAAGGAGACCAAGGAAACTTTTAAGTGCATGTGTTTAGAAGTCAAATAGGCCCAGAGGTGACCCTTGTTCCTCCTCTCAGTAATCCTGGAATTGTTGGGTGAGTTGCCAACCATAAAACTGGGATCAGGATATGTGTCTCATAGCATTGTTATGAGTATGAAATGAAAAAGTAGGCATACCAGTCATACAGCATTCAATAAAGGGGAGTCATTACTGTCGTTTCTGAATTTGCTAATGCTTTCTTATTCCTGGACATGTCACAGGGCTTGTCCGGTAATCTAGCATAGCACTCAACACAGAGGAAAGATAAATGTGCTATAATAATAGAAATGCTAGCCATGGCTGGGTGGTTCAATTGGTTGGAACATTGTCCTGTGCACAGAAAGGTTGAGGGTTCAATCCCCAGTTAGGGTACATACCTAGGTTGAGGGTTTGATCCCCAGTTGGGGCATATATGGGAGATAACCAATTTATTTTTCTTTCTCTCTTTGTGTCTCCCTACCCCCCTCCTTCTCTCTCTAAAATCAGTAAACACATCCTCAGGTGAAGATAGAAGAAATAACAATAATAGAAACAATAGCTAACATTCACTGAGTGTTTACTCCGTATGAGGGTCTTTAAGTCACTTAGCCACTGTAACAGTCCTATTGGTGAGTTCTATCACTACCCTCATATCATAGAGTTGTGGCAAAGAGAAACTCAGTAAGTCACCTGAGGTCACAGAAGCAGTGAGTGGCAAGGTTAGGATCTAATGACAGAACCTGCACCCTCAACTACCACAGCTAACTGCATACTGGCTCTGAATTGACTTTTCCCCACAAGCACCATCCCCTGCCTGGGTGCATTTATTCAGACAAGCAGGAGTAGATAATCGGTCTCATTGACCATCTTGGATTTCAGCACAGTTGCTTCTTGAGCCCGCCATAGATTGATATCCTACCTGTTACGTTGACCATGATGCTGCTGATCTTGGATATCTGGCTGGTTTCCACTTTGCACGTGTAGTTGCCACTCTGCTCCACTGTGGCCATTAGTGAGTAGGTAGCCCTATTGCTCTGGCTACTATGCGCCACAATATTCTTGTCCTTCTGGATTATGATTTCCGGAAATGCAGTGGGCGTGGGTGACACCTGAATGGTGCATGTAATGTCCATCTTCTCTCCTTCCATGATCATCCCCTGAGGGACGATGTGGAACTTGGGATTAGAGAAGGATTCTACAAGAAGAGAACAAGACAGGTGGACTGAGGTTTAAACCTGGGTGAAGAAAAAAGGCACTTCTTCCTTTTTCTCTGCTCTTTTTGTTGCCAACCGCTGTTTTTCCTTATTGATTAAAAACAAAAGTTCAACCTGGCCTCTCAAAAAACTAATAGGCTGTTCTGGTGAGCCCTCCCTTCTCACTCATTCTTGCATCTTCAACCCTCAACCTTTTTAACTGCCATTCTCTAACTTTCTTCAACGTCCCAAAAGGCCAGGCCATCTTATCTAGACGTCAGCTGCAGAATCTTCTTCAAATGGCCTCAGAAATGAGCACAGTAGTTAGAAAGAGATTCTTCTCCCTGCCTACCAGGGCTTTTCTAGCCTCCTCTTGCACTGTTTCAGGGAACATTTCAACATAAAGAGTCCACAGTTTTCACAACTGACCATTGTGTAGACTGTGCTGTTTCATGGAAATAAATATTTAAATATCCAGATGCAAAAAAAAAAAAAAAAAAGGTGGGGGATTTCTAGTCTATTCCATTTCTTTCTTCAAGATGTTGGCTCTAATTGGCTAAATTGATTTAATGGCTCACACAGTTTGGAAGCAGTTTTAATAAAATATGAGTCAGACACCAGGGTGAGGGATCTTCAGGAGACGGTGAGGGAAGCAGGGCGAGGTCTTCGCGCCTGCTAAAAAATAACAGAGCGTACAGAATATATGCAGAGAGGGACATTAAAAATGCCAAAAGTGAATGTACAGTGATATAATACTTCTATATTCGTTCACTTTTTTTTAACTATAAAGTCATTTCAATTCACAATAAAAAGCCATCATTTTAAAAAATAGTCTGCTTTAGAACTCTCAGCAAGTGCCCTCTGGGGCAGCTTAATAACAACTGAAGGTTTTTTTTCTTATACCCAAATTAATGCCAGAGGTACCAGAGACCTAAATGTAGGGGGGTAACATTTAAACCACAGAAACAGTAAAAGAAAACATAGGTGCCTTTTTTCTTCAATAACCTTGGACTGTGGAGGAACCTTAGGTGTGAATCACAAAACCAAGATTCCATAAGGAGGAAAGATGGATAAATTTAATTAACTAAATATTAAAACCTTCTGCATTGAAAAAAATCATAAAATAAAAACAATGACAAACCAGAGAAAATATCTGCACAGTACCTAACAAAGAGCTAAATCCTTTTATTTATAAAGGCCTCAAACAAATCAATAGGAAACAGGAAAAAGGGCAAAGTGTATATGAACAGGCAATTTATGAGGGTAAATTGACCAATAAACGTAAAGAACATACTCAACCTCACTAGGGACCAAAAGAATACACGTTACAACCACAATGATATGTCATTGTGCCTTAGTTAGATTGGCAAAAATAACAAAATGTTGATAATATTCTGTGTTAGTAAAGTTGGTAAGCACCCCTTTTGATGGAAATGCTCAGCCATTTTGAGGAGCGCTTTGTCAATTATCTATTGATATTGAAAATGCACAAAACATTTCAATCGACAATTTGGGCTGCTAAGTATCGACTCCATAAATAATAATAACAATAATGAAATACTTGCAAAAGTTCACAAGTTTTCAGTACAAGTATGTCTGTTACAAGACTGTTTTAATAGCAAAAGCTGGGAAAATACTGTGTCCATCAATAGAAAAAGGTAAATACATTATGGCTCATCCCAACAATAGGATTCCAAGTTGCCACTAAAATGACATAGACCTATATTTCCTGATATGAACAAAAGTCCGTAACATATTAAGAAAAAGTTATAAAATAGTGCGTTTGGCAAGTGCTATTTTTTGTAAAAACAAAGAAAAACAAAAGCTCTGTGTGTGCATGAAAGTATAAGTAGAGTAAGTCTAGAGGACCACACAAGTGGTTTTCTTGGAGTAATTGTACAATGAATGATAATTTCATTCACCTTATAATTTATAAAGTATTCTTTATACTTCATTTTCTAAAAATTTACCCGACACTATCTGAAAAACATTATATATACGTGATATTTACATATGTATATAAATACACATATACCCATGCTGTATATGCATTCAGACGTATATACATACACAATGGGCGGAGGTAAAGTCAGGTGCTGGAAGCGGAGGGTCGCCTATCAAAGTTTAAGGCTCCTATTTTGAGAGTGTTGGAGGCCATCTACATAAGAATGGGCCTCCCAGACTCTTCCCCACAGGCCCCAGGTTGCCTGGCTTGCACACTCACACCCGGGCTTCCCTCTGCTGTTGCCTTTCTCTCCCAGGAGTAATTCTCACGGCGTCTCATTGTTCCCAATCCTGTTGACAGGGTGCAGGTAGATGGGGGGAGTCCCTCATCTAATGTAGGAGGCAAAGGCTGAGGGCCTGGCCCCCCTTCCGTCCGATCCCCTCAAACTCCACTTTCTGATGTCTGACCCACATTGGCTTCACGCTATGGTTCCCAAACTGCAGGCCACAGAGGGCATCATTTCAGCGCATCGTGGCCTGAGTTTTAAAAAACTGAAATAGGGTCCTGACCAGTGTGGCTGAGTTGGTCAGACATTGTACCGCAAAGCAAAAGGTTGCTGGTTCAATTCCCAGTTAGACCATGTGCCTGGGTTGCAGGTTTGGTCCCCAGGTTGGGGCACATGTGAGAGGCAACCCATTGATGTTTCTCTCTCACATCAATGTTTTTCTCTCCCTGTCTTTCTCCCTCCCTTTTCCTCTCTAAAAATAAATAAACAAAATCTTTTAAAAAATGAAATAGAATAGAATAGAAAATAGCAAAATGCATCATATATCAAAGTTAACACTCATTTGCAAAATTTTGTTTGGGAAATTCATAGACATATATATGTATAGGGTGGGACAAAGTAGATTTACAGTTGTTCATATTGAAAATAATACAATAATTAATCAATAATAATACAAGAATAAACTCTGTTTCATGTACTCACAACTGTAAACCTACTTTAGCTCTACCCTCTATATGTATAAATATAGAAATATGTATCCAACTGTGTCACAGTCAAAAAGTTTGAAAACTGTGGACTTAAAATGACTAAGAACAGCCTTGAGAACAGTAGTCCAGCCAGAAGCCCCTGCCCCTTCTCAGTCCGCACGCCAAAGCAGCAAGCCAGAAAGAATGAGAAAAAAGAGAAACGGGACTCTGACCTCTCACGGTGACCAGGTCACTCTTGGTTGCTTCAGAGGTCTCCATGTGTGTCCCAGAAAAGATGTTTGCTGTGCATAGGAAATAAATCACACGGTCCTGTTCCTCCACTGTGAATTCCTGGATCATAAAATTCTGGTTCTCAGACTTTTTTTTTTTTTGCCTGGTAACTTTTTTATCTAGTTCAAATTTTTCAACTGTGAAATGTACTGGGGCCTTTTCCTCTGGAACAGAGCAATTGACCGTCACAACCCCGCCTTCCACTGCCTCCTTCTTGTCCAGTGTCACTCTGGGCTTGGACACTCCTTTGGGGAAAAAGAAAGTCCATTAGTATCAGTTTGATTTCATGGCACAAGCTGAGTCATTGGGGTCAACCCATCTAAAAGTTCTTTTCTTTCATTCCCAGAATATCCAGTGCTACCTACCAGGTAATTATCAAACATGCAGGTGTCCAGCACTACACCAGGTACTTTGAAAAGTATAAAATATGTTTAAGATGTGGTTGGTGCTTTCAACATTTATAATCCCATTGGGAAGACCAGTCTTCCCAATTGCAACAGTTAGAAACAAAACAAAATAAAACAAACCAGCCAGTATGCATTAGTATTACTGTGATTATTGTTATGCTTTTTGAATGCTAGTCACAAGCTAGGTTGACTTTATATCCATGACCCCATGTAATTCTCATAATAAATTTCCTGAGTGGGCAGGAAAGGTAAAATTATGCCCATTTGACAGATAAAGAAGGGAAGGCTCAAGAAGGTTCAAGGTTCACCCAAAAGCTTATAGCTATCAAGCCCCAGAGTTGAGATTCAACCCCAGGTCTGTCTGACTCCAAAGCCAGAGGCTGGGTGGGAGGGGTGAGAGAAAGGAGGGAGGCATGGCCTTCCAGTTCAAAAAGCAAAGCTGAAAATAACGGAGCCTCTGAGTGTGTTGCAGAGGCAATGAGCAAGGCAGCAGCCAGGAAAGGGGCAAGCCCTCTCTGCCTGGGGGTTCAGAGGAAATTCTAGAAAGGAACAGGATCTGAGAGGAATCTTGGAGGAACGGTGTTATTTGGGCAGATGATGTGTATGGGGGCGAAGGAGAGGCATTGCAGGGTACACGTGAGCTTGGGAAACTGCTTGGACCGAGGTGTAGGAGTGGAGGGCCATCTAGAGCAGAGAAAGCAGGGAGAGAAAGGTACCTCAGGTGGTGAACAGGTCATATACAGGGAGCTGGGAGAGCCTGGCTGTGATTGGAAGTCCCGTCCAGGCCCCATTGTCCGGGGGGGTCATGAACTTCACCTTGGAGTCAGGTGGACTTGCTTGCATCCTAAACCTGCCTCTTCCTGCATGCGCCATCTCACCCAGTCACTTATAAGGCTTATAAATTCTTCTTCTTTTTTTTTTTTTGGTTGACCCACCAAGTTCAGGGGTGGAGGGCTATCTGCTTGGGAAGGAGAGCTGTACTGCATCCATACCACTGCTGTTACCTGTGGTGGCCGCTGTTTGTGAAGGTGTTGCCTATTCATACTGAGCTCCTCACTGCCGAGTGCTCAATCTGGCCCAGAATAGGTACTCAGTAAGTGTTTAATGAATGGATGAATTGCCTTGTGCCTACCTCAAAGACCTGTCATAATAATCAAGAGTTAGAGGTCACCTTTAGAATCAAATAGATCGTGGTTCTGACTCTAGCTTTGCCTTTGATGAACTGCAAAACTCGAGCATGTCGTCAACACTCTGAGCCCCAGGGTCCACACCTGTGAGTGAGGGGAACCATGTTTCGCTCCCAGTGCTATTGCAGGGGCTAAATGAAATGTGTGTGAAGCACTTATAACCATTTATCTCATGAGAGCCTAATAAGTAGTAGTTCTTATTACTGTTAGTAATAACAGTATGAATAACTGTTCTGATCTCAAAAGCACAAAAATGCAGAAATGACAGTTATGGCAGCAGCTGTCAAGGAAGCAGAGGGCTGAATTCACTAACTCTGCCCGTTAAATCATCCAACTCTTAAGAAAAATTCCCCTAAGTTTCAAAAGCCTTCTAGCACATTTCCTTCCAACATATTCGTCCCAAACTCTTGGCCTGCCCATCTTTTCTCATCACTAATGTAAACGCCGAGACCTGTTGGTTCCTCCCCTGTCCTCAGGGGAGATGGAGAAGGCCTGATCTGCAGCTGTGTGGCTGTCGCCCCTGGAGACACACAGAGATGTCCAGCCAGCCATGCCTCCTGACTGCGCATTGGACCCCCCTGGAGGGATTGGCCTGGAGGGTGAGGCAGACTGACAAGAAAATAGTCAGAGACTGCACACTTATGAAAGGAAAATGTCCTCGGACGCTTGCCCACTGGTTCTTCCTGCTTCCTGTTGGCTGAAAGTGTTGGGTTTTTTTTTTCTAAGGATGGCCTGGCCCAGCATCTCATACATGATGGGCCATTCACTCATTTAACACTTGGTTACTGAGTACACGTCATTCGTTATCCCATTTAATCCTTAAAAAATATCCTTTAAGGGTACATGTAGTTAACTAGTGACCTCTATTTTAGTGACAGGAAATGAAGAATCCAAGAGGCTGGGGCACTCTGCTGGAATACTCACCTCTTTCTCAGCCTCTGCTCTTTCACTCTGATGCCACTTCCCTTTTCTCTGCCCTTGTCCCACTTCCATCCAGCAAACTCTTACCCGATCTTCTGGATCTGGACCCAGTGCCCCATCCTCCAGGAAGATATCTCTAACTCCTCTAGGTAGAATTATTTCCTCCCACCTTTGTGCTCCCAAGCCACTCAGATCATATAACTATTAGACTATAATTATTTGCTTAAATGTCTCTCTTCCCCACCAGGCTGCAACAGCCTCTGGAGCTGGGCCCTACATGATGCATTTTCATGTCTTGCACTGATTTTTTTATTGACTTGCAGCCTGGGAAATGTTTCTTAAGTGAATGAATGAATGAAAGAAACCCTATAGGTCTGAACCCAAATTTCCCACAGTGATTTCTCTCCTATTTCTCTATGCTCCTCCATTTCTACTTCCCCTTTTCATCTGCTTGATTTATTTCACAATCATTTATTGATTGCAGACTACAAGCCAGATTCTTTGTCCAAGATACAATAATAAACCAAACACCACCTCTTTCCTCATTATCTCACAGTCCAGAAAAACAGACACATGTGTGAGAAATAACTAACACTGAGTGAAGGAGTAAATGCCATTTACTGGGAACTCATTATGTACTGGCTTTAGGCTAAGCCCTGTCCTCTCAAAATTCCCTGAGATGGGTATTGTCATTATCTTCATTTCACTGATGAGAATTTTAAAGTTTAGAGAGCTTCAGGGACTTGCCCAGACTGGAATCCAGGCAGACTGACTACAGAATCCAGTGTCAACACTTGGCCCAATGGCCTTTATACAAATACCACTGAGTGTAGAGAGGGCATAAGAGCTGTGAGCACCCTGGGGGAGGTCAATTTTGTTTGGGAAAGTGTCAGAGAAGAGACTGAGTGGAGTCGTGAGGGAGAAACAGTAGTTCACGAGGAGATGAGATGGAGAAGGGTATTCCCAGGACAGGGACTAACATCGGCGAAGATGGTGAGAAATAGCCTGGCACATTGGGAGCAGGTCTAATGCCTACATTTTCAGGTTAGGAAAATGCCAGGCAGATGAGTGAGGAATTATGATGGGTGGGCAGGTATATCCAGTATCCCTATGCATTCAATTACTGTTCTCGGTACTGCATGTGTTAGCTTCATCTGCTTGAGCTATGTTCAATCCCAGGAACTCACCTCTCACCACCACCTCATAATCCAATGTCTCTTTCCTCTTGTTGTTCAGAATCACAGTGCATTTGTACGTCCCTGAATTGTAGACCCGGGCTTGAGGGATGAAATAACTCTCCACCCTCTCCACGGAGGAGACATTGTGAAACAGCACGTCATCCTTGTAGAATTGCACCCAGTGCTGAGGCTGGACATGAGAAGTGGTGCTGATGTCCACAATGCACTGCAGGGTCAGATTCTCCCCATTTTTCACTTCCTCCCCTGGCAGGATCACCATGTAGACGCTGTTGATGGTGAAAGCTAAAAGACAAGAGAAGGAGGGAAGACGCGTCTGTCATCCCAGAAACAACATTGTCTCGGTGACCTTCACCACATTAGATTGGTGCCGTCGTATGCAGTGTAGTGTCCAAGGGTCCTAAACGGCCACAGAGGCCTGGTGGGTAATGACTCAGGGGAGTGGGTCAAACATGAGGCAGTTGGTATTAAGCTTCTCCTTTTCCTACCAAAACGAGGTGGAGGTCTTTCTAGTGTTATAAAAAACAAACAAACAAATAAACAAACAAAAACCCCTGCTCTGGCTGATATGGCTCAGTGGGTTGAGTGCCAGCCTGAGAATCAAAGGGTTGCTGGTTCGACTCCCAATCAGGGCACACGCCTGGGTTGCGGGCTAGGTCCCCAGTTAGGGGCATGCAAGAGGCAGCCACACGTTACTGTTTCTCTCCCGCTCTTCCTCCCTCCCTTCCCCTCTCTCTAAAAATAAATAAATAAAATCTTAAACAAAACAAAACAAAACAAAAACCTGCCCATGAGATACGTGCAGCATGTGAGCTGCCACATCGCGGCCCCTGGGGGAAGCACAGGGTTCAGGCAGACAAGCGTTCACGTCCTGGTTCATCACTTACTGTGTGACCTTGGGCAATTAAGCTCTCTGTGCTCTGCCTCTTCATCTATAAGATGGGGTAATGATACATACTTCGTAGGTTGTTGCAAGGCTTATAGGAGAGGAGCAGGAAAGCACCATACTGTGGGTGACGTACAGTAATTGCTTAGTGACAGCTACCGCTATTCTGAAATCAAGGGGTCATGCCCTGGAAAATTCCTTCTTCACCCTAGCTTGACAGAATAGCAGAGTCCTATCTGGCATTTTCTATCTGATGCACTTAAGGCCTCACCAGTTGGGTGAGGACTTGAAATCATGCCTAAGGCAGCCACATGCCATCCCCATCCCCATGCCCATCTGCCACTGAGAAGCAAAGAACACACGTTCTCCTCTGTGGATGAGAGAAATCTCTGGTCAAGCACCTGCAGCAGCTATAATGCCCAACCAGCTCCCCAAACTCTGCCAGAAACCAGGCACCAGATCAACTAGCCAAGCACATCGTTTCTGGCCCACGTCATCCAGCATCTAATATCCAGCGACCACAGGCTATTAGCAGAATTCAGCTGACTAGACAGCATGTTTTGAGACTTATTTACAGTGAAGGGCTGGGAAGATGAATTGCTTAAAACTGGATGCCCTCTGGCTATGGAATAAGCAATTTTGTCCGTTGGTTGGTTGGTGGTGGGCCACTGCTCTGAAAAGTTTCCAGGCTAGAAAGTTCTTAGACCATGCTTATTGGTCAGGACTTTTGTCCAAGCTTTGGAGCAGACCAGGGCAGGTCTGTCTTTTGAAAATCCTCTTGGTCCTGTCAGAGGTCCTTCTGCAGCCCACCTGGTTCCTAGTTTTGCTCCTTGATGGACCTCAAAGCACCTCAGCTCTACCTTCCCTGTGGCTTATTATCCAAGCACATGGGTCTGGACTCAATCAGTGCTATGAAATATTCACTCTCCAAACTCCTGCCACAAAAAACAGCCTCAAACATCTTGTGCTCTCTATATATCTTAACATAGGTAGCTCAGCCTCTCAGAACCTCTAGCTTCTACACATCTTGCCTGTAAACGTCCACCTTTCCCATCCTAAGGAGGTTACCTACTGAGTGTCAGGACCTGGGGTTGGAGTTACTGTGCCTGGTGTGCTCTGTTAAGCTTCCTGTGTTTTCTGCCTCCACAAAATGTAGATAAAACAATCATGAGATTTTACATTTTTATTTAAGTTTTTTTTTAAGTGTATAGGTAGTCAAATGTTTCAAAACCCCCAAATGTAGATGATATGATACCTATGAGAAACCCCAGAGAGTCTATTGACAAATCATCTGAAACAATGTAAGTTCTAAAGGTGAATGGATAGACGATTAATATAAAAAAATCAGGATAGTGGTCACTTCTGAAAGGAAGAAGGGAATAAGACTGGGAGGAGCAAACAGGTAGATATAGATATGGGTAATGTTCTAATTCTTGGGTTGAGTGGTAGGGTCTTGTGAATTGTTATTAAAAACATGCATATAAACAAAACAAAAGGCAATTCTGCATGGATTAAGGATGAGAGTGTGTTATTAACCAAGGATTATGATCTGTCCAAATCTGTGTCCTTGAGGTGCACAAAAGAAGAAAACAGAGGGAGAGAGAGAGATATACTGTAAAGTCTCTTTCCTGTTCCTGTTAAGCCCAGTGCCCATCGCCCCTGCAGAAGCAACTACTGATTTTCGTTTCTTGTTACCCTTCCAGCTAGTCTTTATGCACACAAACAAATACAAAAATAAAGTCTCATTTACTTCCCCACTCTTTTACACAAGACACAGCTCTCCATATACAGACTGGCAGTTCCAAGCATGGACCTTACCCAAAGCTTACATGGCCCAGAGGCCAGAGATGGTATGGGACAGTGAGCACCAGGAGTTGTTCAAGCAAAACAGTGTTGCATGGTTTAGGCAAGGCTCTTAGAAGTTCAATTCTCATCGACACTTCGATAAGAGAAAAATATGCATGGGTCATGCCTGATGAATATATATTAATTAATGCTCCTGGATTAACAACTCTAACTCTCCTTATTTTTAGGTCAAGGAAGATCTTCAGAAATCTGCATGCTTGGACCTCCTTGCTATGGTCCCTCATTGAATCATATTAAATAACAACACATAATTTTTATAAGTGGCCCCAGGTCAATTTTCAAGTAAGAAAAGGTAAGAGAAGGCACAGCTAGCTAGCTATCCAGAGACACTGGCAAAAACTGCCTTTCCCTTTCTTTTAACAAAGTGAAACCTTTTACCAGCAATTTAGAATTTAATTTGTCTATAATATCTCAGGTTTTTAAATGACTATAACAGTCCACAGCTGTCTCTTTCTTCTGACCAATTAATTTGACAAAAACAAAATGATGTCTGATCAGTCCATGACGTGAAACAAGGTGAAGGTTTAAATTCAAGTTGTTCCCACAGCATTAATCATTAGAACCCCCTTTCCTGTCTTTCTCTATTCCTTGTTAGCTCTTGGTCTGAGGAGCCTGCTAGGTGAACTCTCAGTCCAGAAGTTTCTTTGGACCATTTGTAGTTTTAACATGGTCCTCTCCCAGTTGGGACAGGCAGGTCGGTCTCCCTCCCGCCTTCATTTCAAGCCACGTTGTTAGCACAGTGATCTATCGGGAGAGAGTAGAGAACAGAGGTTTCCGTAAGTGTCGAGAGAGACAGCCTGAGCCAACTCCCACCTCTGCTACTCCCAAACTGGGTGGCTGTTGGCAAGTTACCAAGCTTCCCTGAGCCTCAGCTTCCTTATCCAGGCAGTGGGCGTAACAACAGCAAGTGCACGTGGGAGCCTGAGTTGAAGCACTTGGGGTACACACAGCTCCTGGCACAGATGAAGCACTTGAGAAATGTTAGCTAGACTCTGTCAGGCACAGATATAAAACCAACTTTTGAGTCCTGAGGACTCCAAGCTCTATCTCAATTCCATATTTATAGGGCATTTTATTCAAAAGAAAACTATTTTTTAAAAATTTCCCAGGTTAATTATGATGACTTCGCCAGATTCCCAGTGTTAGTCATCCCACGGGTTAGACTACTTTACTGTCATCATCCTGTGTGAAATGTGCACACACATGTCTGGCTCTGCCCCAGACTGAGACACAGAGGTGGCTACAGCAAGAAAGCAAGTCAGGCACACCCTGTTCAACCCCTCGATCCCACAGCCATTAGCGGGGTAACGTTGGGTTGTTCAACCCCTCCGGGCTACCCCTTCCCCTCTTATAAACTGGGAACACCAATATCTGGGACTAATATTTTAATCTTGAACAATGATTAGAAGCAAGATGTCTGAGAGCACTACAGGCAGAGTATGTATACCTCCACGCCTGGCCCCTGGCTGACATCCCATTCCCTTCCCCCTTCCTTCCACCATCCATGCAGCAGACATTTAAGTGGGTTTCTGTGTGTCAGACCCTGGGGGCTCAGAGGAGAGTGAGACAGTTTCTGCCCACCTGGAGCACACAGTCTGCATTTCACCATCCTTCCCTCCTCAGGCCCTCCCGCCTCAGTGCCATCCCTACCTGGGTCTCCTCCTGACCAGGCCTAGTTCATTTCCTTTTTATAGGAGGCCAACCACTTTTTCATTATTTTAAAGCACCCTTGGGTAGTGTTCAGAGACGGTGATATCCACTAGCCTGGGGAGCATTCGCCATCTTGTTTTCCTAAGCAACACTAACACACATCTGTTTAATAAATTAGTCCAACCGATTCACTGGTAGGAACGGTATACTCCCACGGCCAGTTCAAACAGGCAAGGGAGATGAAAGGAGGACAGAACAGAAGAAGGAAAAGCACTTTATAAAAGTTATCAAGATACATAAATCCAGCTCTTCAGCTTAACACAAAACCTCCCTGACTTGATGCAACAAAGCCAGCAGCCTATATTTTACCACCACCACCTCCTCCATCACCCATGCAGTAGCCAGACTTCAAGAAGGTCCCCAGTGAGCCCTGCCTTCTGGTAGTCGCACTTGTATGCTGTCCCCTCCCACATCATACCAGGGCTGGTCTTCTGACCAACAAAATACTACAGAAGGACTTGTATGTCATTTCTGAGATTAGATTATAAAAGGCATTGCAGCTTTTGTCTTGGCCACTCTTTCCTTTTCTGGAATCACTCCCTGTGGGCAAAGCCTGCTGCCTTGTCATAAGCTTCCCTATGGAGAGGACCACATGGCAAGGAACAGCCACAAGAGTGACCTTAAAAGCAGATCCCCTAGTTTCAGACAAGCCTTCTGATCATTGTAACCCTGACCGACATTTTATCTGCAATCTCCTGACAGACTGATTCAGAACCATCTAACTCAGTCACTCCTAGATTCCTGACTCTCACTGATTGTGTGAGATAATAAATTGTCTTCAGCTACTAAGTTTTGGGGTAATTTGTTAAGTAGAAATACATGACAAATATACCTCCCAACCAATTTTCAAAAACATTTACCTGATGATCAAAATAGTACAGAATGGAAAACATTATCCCTTTTGTGGATACACAGTCCAGGAATAGCCACACTGGATTACTGGTTATAGGTCTCACTACTCACATAATTGAGTGACTGCTCACAACCCGGGCTCCCTGAAGGTTCACCGATGGGTGTCAGGGGACTCATGAATCACCTCTGATTATATGCAAGAGTGCATTTTTTTTCTGGAGAGAGGATATACAGCTCCCCTTACAAAACTGAAAACTTTTGGAACTGTCACAATGGAAGGCTGGGGCTGTGAAACAGCCTAAAAACAAAGGCTGATGGAGAAGGATCCAAATAACCAAGTCACCACAGCACAGAAAACGCACCCTGGGGCCTGATTTCCTTACCTCCAGAGGATGCTGATGCTCCCTGGGAAGATGAGGCATTATGACTCAGCCAGCCACTTGGCCCTCACTCTGGAAATGACTCAGAAAGAAAGATGGGGGACGAGGAGGAGGAGCTACCCACTATTGTCAGGAAAATTACAGGGGGCCACGGAGCGTGGAGTCCCTGCTGAATTTCCGTGCTTAGCACTGACCATGCTGACCCATCTTTTGAATCTCAAAATATCTCTAAGTTTGGTTGGAGTCTCCTTCAATGAGACCTTTATTGAGCGCCTATGCCAGGTGCTGGGTTTACAAGGGGAATACAAAATCATCCTTGCTGTTCCAGGCCGTGCAGGCTGGTGGGGGCCCAGAGAATGGGAGTATAGTGATGTAAACACCAAGAGGAAGGGTTGCCTAGGAGAGGCCAAGGAAAGTCTGAAGGAAGTGACCCCTGAACACAGTCTTGAACCAGGCCAACAACAGGGGTGCTCCGGGCAGGAGAACAGCATGTACCAGGGTGCAAGGACATAAAAAATCAATGTATCCAGTACAAACAGTTACAGGAACCAAAGTATGGGGCCGGAGGGGCCAAGTAGCCAGGTAGGAGGTGCCAGAACAGAGGGCGTTATCTGTGTGCTGATAAGCTGGACCCTGTCCTGAGGATATTTAGAAGGGTGACAGGATGACACTGGAGCTTTAGAAAGATCACCGTGAGCTAAAGGGAGAGACCAGAGGCCTATAAACACCTTGGGCAGGGGTTCAGGTGGAAGTTGACGAGGTCTGAGCTAGGGCAGGTGCAGCGGGAATGAAGGAATGGACTTGAGAAATATTTAGTGAACACAAAAGACATAATTGGGGGGGTGAAAAGTTTCTGGAACTAGACAGTGATGATGTTTGCACAACAATATGAATGTGCTAAATATCATTAATAAATTTCATGTTATAATGTATTTTATTAAAAATTTTTAAAGACTTATTTGAATATGGAGGTTGAGGCAAGGAGTGGAAGACGAGGTTCCTGGATTAGGTACCCAGGGGGACAACTAAAGTGGAGAATGGCAGGAAAGGATAAGCGCATTAGGATAAGCACAAAGCAAAAAGTCATGGTGGTGAGACTGAATTGGGGCAGCCTGGGTGACGACTAGGAGATGTCTTCTACTGGCCCCACATGATGCTTGGGGAGAAGCCAGGGCTCAACTGGACCAGGGCAGGGTGCGTGGAGGTGCTGAGAGCTGGTTAAGCTCCAGAGAGGATAAGACCAGGGGGGCTGCAGAGACCAGGGGGTGGAGGGAGTTCAGACCGTGGAGAAAGGAGGGTATTTGTCAGAGAGGTAAGAGAACATCAGGGAAGGGGATCTAGGAGGCCAAGGAAGGGGGCTTTGTGCAAAGGCCACATAGGGCCCCAAAGCTGAAGACTGGAGTGTTCATGGCATTTGGCATAAGGAAGCCCGTGTAGGATTCCAGTGCAGGGAGGAGTGGAGGCCACGGCCAGACTGTTAAGTGAGGGGGGCCGGAGAGGCGAGGAAACAGCAACAGTGAGTATAAACCAGTCTCCAGAGAAGTTTGACTGAGGAAGGAAGCAGATAGATAGGGGACACGAGATGAATGGAGGGGGCGAGTTGTGTGTGATTTTCCTTTTTCATAAAAAAAGTAAGAGCTACCAATTGTGTTTGAGGGAAAAGAACCAGAAAAGGGGGAGACCCTAAAAGTGGGATGGGAACTGAAAAAATGATAGAATGTGATCCCAGGTGGCAACGCGAGGGCTTGGCTCAGAGCCCAGGTGGACAGGCTGGCCCGGGCCAGAACCAGGGGAAGAGACAGACGTCTTGTCTGAAGTGGGAGGGAAGCCAGGAGAATGGGTGGGGAGGCAGATAAGACTGCAGCTAGGGCCGAGGGGAAGTTGAGGAAGTTCCCTCCAGACAGCACTGTTTTCAAGGTGAAGATTGAGGTCATCTCCTGAGACAGGCCGCTGGGGTGGGGAAAGGGCCTGAGATAAAGGAGTGGAAAGTGCCCAGGCTGACCCAGCACCTCAACACCAGGGAGCAGGCTCGTAGGTCATGCACGTCACACACTTTGACAGCATGGTCTCGGGTGGCCTGAGGAATGGGAGACCGGGATCCCAGCCCCCACTCCACCAACACCCAGTGTGGATCATGTGCAAGGACATTCTGGCCTTTGGGCCTCAGTTTCCTCAAGTGTTAAAACAAGACAGAGGCGTGAGGCAGCAGCCGGGCAGTGGGCGAGTCTCCTCTGTCGTGTAGTTCTGAGGTCTTCCCGGAAGTCACAAAAACCTTTCTCTAAGAACCATGGGAAGGGGACGGTTTACTTCCATCTGAGATGGGGAAGGAGATGGGAGAGACTGGAGGTTCTGGGAAACAGGATGTCCAGAGCAAGAGACGCAGAAGCCCAGAAGTACAAGTGATAGCAGGGTGTGGTCAGACAAAAGCTGAGGGGAGCGACCGGCATGGACAGAGAGGGCGGTGAAGGAGCCGTGACTGTAAAGGCGGGAGGACCAGGGCTGCCAAGAGTAAACCATTATCTATCCGCACAGGCCCGGCAGGTCATTCACCTGCTTTAACTTAATCTCATCCTCACACCGACACTACAATTAATCCTTTTACCATCCCCTCTGTACCGAGTGAGAAGAGGGCTCAAAGAGGTTAAGTAAAAGAGGCTTTTAAAAAGCTGAGTCAGACCCTGACAGGTGTGGCTCAGTAGGTTTAGCCTTGTCCTGCGGAGTGAGGGCTCACCAGCTCAACTCTGGGTTAGAGCACATTCCTGAGTTGCAGGTTCAATCCCTGCTTGGGGCATGTTTGAGAGACAGCTGATCAATGTTTCTCTCTTATGTTGAGGTTTATCTCCTTTTTCTCCCTCCCTTCCCCTCTCTCTAAAAATAATTTTTTTTTTTTTTTTTAAGAGCTGAGTTAGGCCTATGGCTCCAGACAGATTAGGCAGGTTTAGAGGAGGGTTTACATAGTGGAGGTTCTAGTGCGATGCCCTACCAACTGACTCTCGATCAGACAAGTCGGTTATTTCTCTGAGATGCAGAGACATCGTCAGTTATTAAGGATGATTAGGATGATAATAAATATCCTGCCTCCATGGACTCCCATGGGCATCAGAGGCCTGCCGAGGCACACGGGCAGCTGAGTGGGAGACCTGCAGACTGGCTTTGCTGGTAGCCGCGCTAGCCCTCCTTGTCCTGGAGCCGCTGCTCTGAGCCCCGGCTCAACAAACCAGCATCATCCAGGCACATTTCCTCCAAGGAGCTGTGCGACCATCTGCAGCCCAGCCGTAACCACCATTCTTTGCTGACTGAAGTGACCACTGACAAGGGGATCCTGCTCTGTGGGCTCTCCCTCCGCTAAGACCCCAGACCCAGCCAAGCCCCCTTCTTCACATGGTCCCAGATGAAGCAAAGCCAAACCCGCTTATCTTAAAGATTCAAAAGTAGCTCCAAAGTGAACGACAAACCAGACTTCAGGGATAAGCACCTCTCCTTGTGCATAAGTGCACAATATTGCAGGTATAATTGCAGCCTCATGGATGGATGTGAAATGAAATCAGTATGTTTTAGATCATTTAGGAGAGAAAAATCATAACAACAACTTAAACTATGTGCTATCTTCATGAATCTAACAAACCCGTTACATTTCATTTGAGAATTTACAAAATTGGAGAGGGGATAAAATATGAAAATGAAAAATTCATGGTAAAACAAAAAAAAAAAACAAATTATGTGATCACTTTTTTTATCACTTCCCCATCCTAACACACAGCAGTTCACTAGGATGTAGAAAATGCAATGCTGCATCTAGAACATGCTAATTAGAACTTAGCTTAGAACAAGGGGTTTTTCTCTAAAACCTTCTAAAAATGTCAGAGAGAAATAAACTTTAGCTCTCACATGGAATATGTTTTCTCAATTGTTATGGACATTAACCCAAGCTGTTTGACATTCAGTGTTGAAAATCACAGAAGGGCACAATGAATCTAGGTAGAAACTTTACAACTTACAGTTTTCTTGAGCCTCAAGGCTTGAACCTGGAAAAAACAGAAGAAATATGTTGACTTCATTGGCTTCAATTCTCGTGAAGTTTAAATGATGTAGGAAGAGACTAAAACTCACTGAGCAGAATTGTCAGCAGGACTCCGAGCCACATCTTGCCCTCTTTAGTCAACCCCAACAGCATCCTGAAAGCAAGGCTTCTGGCAGTTAGTCCTGCCTTTGGGTCATGCCCCTGGGGCCGAAGACACTTCCCATGCACCACTGATGAGAAACTGGCCCTGTGAAAAGCAGAAAGACTACTCTAGTAAGTTCTCCCAGCACAACAGAAAGACCGGCTGTGATGCTGGTCAGGTAATGGCGGCCATTGCTGGAAACCAGACACAATGCCTGGTCCGGCCTGATATCCCCTCAGGAAATGACTGGTCTTCCTGAGGGGCCACCGAACTCAGCTGCTTTGTTTAGTTTTTAGTGGGGGAAAAAGGCACAAGTGGCATTTTGCCTCAGCTTTCCTGACCCTCCTCTGTCCCCTGGATTTGGAGCCCTTTCTCCTGGCCAAGTAAGAGGGTTCCTCCCTCTTTCCAACTTCCACCCAAAGGGCCCCTCTCCTGGGATACTCAGCATGATCCCTCTGCTTTTCCTTTGATCCCCAAAGGGGTTCTTTCCACACAGCATAAATCTGGACCTCCTGCCTTCCCTGGCAAAGCCATAGGCCAGGACTGACTTTTCCGGAAAACTGCAGGTTCACCAGGGAAACCTTGTCATGGTTCCCTATTGCCCTGAGAGAAAGCCAGTTTAGAATCCTCTACCATCCAGCCCTTGCTCACCTTTCTAGCCGGGTCTCTTGGACAAAAATGAGTTCGATGGAAAGTAACCTCACAGGGTGATCTAATCATAAATTCCTATCTGAGTCTCTGTTAACAAACCTGTGTAGGGACACGTATTTTCTTTTTTTAATTTATTTTTTATTGCATTTTTCCCCACTTATCTATGTACTCATTGTCAATTCTTGTATGTGCCCTGACTGGGCATCAAACCCCCAACTTTGGCGTATCAAGATGACACTCTAACCAACTGAGCTACCTGGCCCAGGCTGGAAATCATTTAAAACAGCCATTGTACCCACCCCTCTGTAGCCCAGACAGCAGCACAGGGCCAAGACAACACAGGGCGGGTCCGTCGCAGGATCTGTGGACCCTCACGGGAGACCATTCTCCATGGGTCTGTCTGCCTTCCACTCACTGTCCTTGGGAACCATTCCTTCCAGTTTTCATGGGAATTTCTTCTTCCTCTCATATCTTGGCTATGATAGAAGAGCTAAAGCATATGTTCTTCATCATTTATCTATTCATTGAAAAGATAATCTTCCTCCTTAGCCTTTATTTGTAAAGTATGATATCATAGTGAAAAATTAAAAGTGTTTAAGTGGAATTTTTTTCTATTTCACCTTTTTATTTATATTTTATTTTTTGGAGTGGAGTTCTTTTTTTAAAATATATTTTATTGATTATGCTATTACAGTTGTCCCATTTTTTTTACCCCCTTTATTCCCCTCCACCCTGCACCCTCCCTCCCACCAGCATTCCCTCTGCCCCTTAGTTCATGTCCATGGGTTGTGCCCATAAGTTCCTTGGCTTCTCCATTTCCTATACTATTCTTAACCTCCCTCTGTCTATTTTGTACCTACCAATTATGCTTCTTATGCCCTGTAGCTTTTCCTCCATTCTCCCCCTTCTCCCATCTCCTCTAACCCCCAGAAGCAGTTTGCATGAGAAGCTGCGATACGGTCAGGGAGGGAGGGTGGGGGAGGCAGGCAGCTGTCCTGTCAGAGAGCTACAGGGATCACGCACAAGGGGTGGCCCATCTGTCTCAAGACTAAGGTGATGAGATATAAGACGTCAGCCATTCCCCCCCCCCCCCCCGGCTTGTAGCCACCATTCTGATTAGTTAACACTCAGATCAGAAGCTGGGGGTTCCAGTCTTTCTCTGTAATTTAATAACTTCAGTGTTTTGAGGTTCACTTTCCTCACTTATAAAATGGGAATAATATGCTCACTGTGCCTATTTTAGTGTTGTTATGAAGATCAACAGAGAGCTGAAAGACATTTGAGGCATTTGAAATACATTTAATTAGCAGAGTATAATAAAGATATTTTAAAAAATGAAAGCAAGGGTAATAATAACAATAGCTGTAAATTGCTGCTCTGGAAACTCTGGCTGTCTTAATGAGCTCAAGAGGAGGGCCTCAAAGCCCCTAATTCAGTGCCCTCCTAGGTGCTATCTTCATAGCCTCGAGGTGGCCCCTTGCAAAGGTAAACAACCAGGCAAAAGAGAAACAGGCTGAGATACTGTGGAGGGCTCGGTGTTATTCTGTCCCTTACTGGATGTCCCCCTCCAGGGACAGGGGACAAGAGGTGTATTATGATTCCTGGCTGTTGGCATCTTTACTATCATGAGCCCCACTTTTCATTTTAAAAAATTGTATTTTACAATTACACCAGTATAATTAAGAATATTATATATATATATATATATATATATATATATATATATATATATATTACTTGACCTGAAAGTTCTTTTTTATTCTTCTAATTAAAAACAAATTTTTTATGGGACTCTAAAAGTATTGTGGACCCTGGCACTATGCCTTCTGGGTCTGAAGGACAAGTCAGCCCTAACCACAAATCAGCCACACAATGGTCCGAGGGGCCAGGGGCCCTACTCTCCTCGTACCAAGTGGCCTGGGAAGAGGGGCAAGAACACCACCATGTCCCAGGTACTGAAGCCAAACAATTACACAGGTATTTGTGTATTCTGTTTTAAAAGCACAAGCAACAAAAGAAAAAACAAATTGGGCAACAGTCCTATTTACAATTGCATCAAAAAATAAAATAAAATATAATACTTAAAAATAAATTTAACCAGGGAGGTAAAAGACCTGTACTCAGAAAATTATGACATTGAAGAAAGAAATTGAAGAAGATACAAGTAAATGGAAGCATATACCTTGCTCATGGATAGGAAAAATTAACATTGTTACAATGTCCATACTACTCAAAGCAAGCTATAGATTTAACACAATCCAATCAAAATACTAATGACGTTTTTATAGAATTAGGACAAATAATCCTAAAATTTATATGGAACCACAAAAGACCCCAAGCAGCCACCACAATCTGGAAAAAGAAGAACAAAATAGGAGGTATCACACTGCATGATATCAAAATATACTATAAGTCTATAGTAATCAAAACAGCATGGTACTGGCATAAAAACAGACACATAGATCAATGGAACAGAACAGAGAGCCCAGAAATAGACTCACTTTTATGGTCAATTAATATATGACAAAGGAGGCAGAACATACAATGGGGTAAAGACAGTCTATTCAATAAATGGTGTAGGGAAAATAGGACAGATACACGCAAAAAAATTAAACTAGGCCACCTTCTTACATCAAAAATAAACTCAAAACGGCTAAAAGACTTAAAGGTAAGTCCCAAAACCATAAAACTCCTAAAAGAAAACATAGGCAGTAAACTCTGACATTTCTCTTAGTAATATCTTTTCTGATATATCTCCTCAGGCAAGGGAAACAAAATTTAAAAATAAACAAACTGGGCTACATCAAACTAAAAAGTTTTTGCATAGCAAAGAAAACCATCAACAAAATAAAAAGACAATCCTCTGAATGGAAGAATATATTCATCAATGATACATCTGATAAGGGGTTAATATCCAAAAATTATAAAGAACTCATACAACTCAACATCAAAAAACAAAACAAAACAAAAAACAACCCAACCAATCCAATTAAAAAACAGGCAGAGGATCTGAATAGACATTTTTTCAAAGGGGGCATAGAGATGGCCAGTAGACATATGAAAAAATGCTCAAGGTCATTAATATCAGAGAAATGATAATTAAAACCACAACAAGAGAAATTCTGGACAAGATAGGCTCTTAGTTAAACAAAGCTGGACTCCTTGCACAACCACAGCAAAAATTACATCTAGACTACAAAATAAATATCACCCAGAATTGTCAGAAAATCAAGCTGTATGGAAGTTCAACAACCAAGGAAGTAAAGAAGCTACATTCATCCAGATGGGCCATGCTACTAAGACAAAGCAGCTCCACCTAATACACAGAAACAAATACAGGGAGGCTGCCAAAATGAGGAGATAAAGAAATATGGCTCAAATGAAAGAACAGAACAAAATTCCAGAAAAAGAACTAAACAAAATGGAGATAAGAAACTTATCAGATGCAGAATTCAAAACACTGGCTATCAGGATGCTCAAGAAACTCATTGGGTACTTCAACAGCATAAAAAAGACCGAGGCAGAAATGAAACTTAAACTAAGTAAAATAAAGAAAAAAAATAGCCCTGGCTAGTGTGGTTCAGTGGATTGAATGCCAGCCTGCAAACCAAAGGGCCACTGGTTTATTTCCCAGTCAGAGCACATGCCTGGGTTTTAGGCTCAGTCCCTGGTGGAGGGCGCACAAAAGGCAGCCACACATCGTGTTTCTCTCCCTCTCTTTCTCCCTCCCTTCCACTCTCATAAATAAATAAATAAATAAATAAATAAATAAATAAATTTGTAAAAAGAAAAGAAAAACATACAGAGAACCAACGGTGGAGGGGATGAAGCCAAAAATCAAATCAATGTTTGGAACATAAGGAAGCAAAAAACATTGAATCAGAACAGCAAGAAGAAAAAAGAATCCAAAACAAGGATAGGCTAAGGAGCCTCTGGGATATCTTCAAAAAGTCCCGACATTTGAATTGTCTGGATGCCAGAAAGGGAAGAGAAAGAGCAAGAAATTGAAAATTCACTTGAAAAAATAATGAAAAAAAATTTCCCTAATTTGGTGAAGGAAATAAACATACAAGTCCAGAAAGCACAGAGAATCCCCAAACAAGATGGGTGCAAGGAGGACCACACCAAAACAAATCATAATTTTAAATGCCAAAGGTTAAAGATAAAGAGAGAATCTCAAAAGCAGATAGTTACCTTCAAAGGAGTTCTCATAAGACTGTCAGTTGATTTCTGGAAAGAAACTTTGTAGGCTAGCAGGGATTCTCAAGAAGTATTCAAAGTGATGAAATGCAAGGACCTACAACTTAAATTACTCCATCCAGCAAAGATATCATTTAGAATGGAAAGCAGATAAAGTGCTTCCCAGAGAAGGTAGAGCTGAAGGAGTTTATCTTCACCAAACCATTATTATATGAAATGTTAAAGGGACTTATTTAAGAAAAAGAAGAAATCAG